GTTTTAGCAAAATGGAAATAAGGATGGGGAAAGGAATCTAAAGGAAAAGAAGAGGAAGAAGAAGAGGAAGAGGAAGAAGAAGAAGAGGAGGGAGAAGAGGAAGAGGAAGGAGAAGGAGAAGGAGAAGAAGAAGGAGAAGAAGAAGAAGAGGAAGAAGAAGAAGAGGAAGAAGAAGAGGAAGAGAAGATCTAGAGATTTTTTAGGGTTAGGGAAGGGAGCCTTTTAGAATCGAGAGAAAGGCCAAAAATAATCGAGAACGGGGAAAGGAGTGGGTGGGGAACCCTAGGAATTTCACTACTCTATTTCTAACTGCTAATCTTGCTAGAAAATCCTGTCTAGCACTAGCTCTACAGACCAAGTTCTACCAGTCTGAAAATATTCTGAAAACAGTCTGAAAATAGTCTGAAAACAGTCTCAGACTCATTCTGAATCCTTAGAGATTGCTAATATTGCTATTGTGCTACTGGTCTAACTACTGGATTGATATCGATATTGCTATTGTGCTACTGGATTACTAATAGACTCAAGCTCTGGCTCAGGCTCAGGCTCAGGCTTAGGCTCAGGCTCAGGCTCAGGCTCAGGCTTAGGCTTAGGCTTTGAATTAGTGCGAAGGCTAGCGCCTTGACTTTCTATAGAACTTGAAAGTATAGAATCGAACTCTATTCTAAGCTTTCAAGTGCTGTAAAAAGTCAAATTTCGATTGAAATCTTGATCTTTATACTCTATTCTACCGGAATTTCTAGTTTTTTTAAAGTTAAATTTCTTTTCAAAACTCTTTCAGCATCGAAAATTTGATTTTCATTCACTAATTTTCCCCAGGGAATCTCGGCATTTACAAATTCGTCAATAGACGTTTATAAAGAAAGAAAATCACTCAAATTTTGCCTTCAAATAAGTCAAATATTTGACTGAATATCTCAAAATTATTGCTATTTTCGAATTCTCGCCTAATTTCCGGAGTTTTCTCTTCTTTGACGACAAAAATGACCACAAAGCAGCTACGGAATTTGAAACACGAGAAATTACAAGCCACTAGTGTGAGTTTTTCAGCTAAACACTTTACAAAAGCTTTAATTTGTTACCTATTCTCGTAATTTATATAGAAATTTTCGATCTTCTTGATCTATTCTTGATTAGCTAGATCATCTTGATCTAGCTAAGCCTATCAGACACTTTAAAAAGCTTGTTTTACCACCATTTAGCCATTTTTCAACATTTGAATTTCTTTGATTTGAGAGAAATTTGATTGATGCCATTAAAATAGGCTGTGAGAGCAGCTGACTTTCCCTGTGAAGAGCTGTTTGAAAAGAATTCTTGAACAAATGGTCGACTTGCACTTATTTTCTTTGTCATACTCTAACCTCTAACACCGATTCTTTGAGCTGAGGATACAAAAATCGGCGTCGAGAATCGAAAAAACGACCGAGAGGTGAACGCGGGGATCGAACCCGGGACCCCTCCCCTTCCTCCCGATTACTAGGCGAACGCTCTACCAATGAGCTACAACGACATGTTGTTAAGCTGATCCAGGAGGGTTTTTACCCCTTCCTTTCTCTCTCTGGAAATGAGAAATTTCCAGTGTCGATTTGTTGAATCAGAAATTTGATATTCTTTCTCTCAGCCGACAGCTTTTCCACTCGATTTCCACAGAAAAATTTCAGAAAAAGTGAACGCCGGGGTCGAACCCGAGACCCCTCCCCTTCCTCCCGATTACTAGGCGAACGCTCTGTCAATGAGCCACGGCGACATGTTGCTCAGCCGATCCAGGAGGGTTTTTACCCCTTCCTTTCTTTCTCAGGAAATGCGAAATTTCCGGTGTTGATTTGTTGAATCAGAAATTTGATATTCTTCCTCCCGGCCGACAGCTTTTCCCCTCGATTTTACCAGAAAAACTTTTGCAATATATATTTCTACATAGTTTTATTACCTAAAGAAGAATTTGATGCACTAGAAAGGTTATTATTACAAATTTAGAAAAGTCCGAGTTTTGACTCGATTTTCTGTAGTTAGAAAGATGAATTAGTGCACTAGAAGTGTGCGTTTACCTATTCCAAAGCACAAATTACATAAAGTTCATTTGAAAAAAGTGTAAAACCTTGATCAAAATGCAAAATGCAAAATCTTTCAAAATCAAAATCTTTTAAAATCCAAATCTTTTAGAAAGATGAATTAATGCACTAGAAGTGTGCAACTAGAAGTGCACTAGAAGTGTAGAAGAAACTCTAAAACTCTAATAATAAGCGCAAAGTAAATGTCAAATCTTTTCCTGTAGCTTTTCTGATTTCTCTCTTAAATCATTTTCATTTTTTCATTTTTTCTTACACTCAAGTGTCTCTCTTTTCCCCAATAGAAGAAAAAGATTTATAAACCTTTTTTATGGGCAATTTTGGAGCCCAGCTCGATTGAAAATCCTGGAAAAAAACAATGATTTTCAACAAAAAAAAAATGAATTTAGTCAAAATGAAAGATTTGGATTTTGATTTTGCATTTTGATCAAGGTTTTACGCTTTTTTCAAATGAACTTTATGTACTTTGTGCTTTGGAATAGGTAAACGCACACTTCTAGTGCACTAATTCATCTTTCTAACTACAGAATTTCTAACTTTCTTTCTAACTTTCTAGTCAAACTCAGACTTTGTCCTCTTTGTGCTTTGTGCCGTAAACGCCTGCTCTCTGGCACACCTTGGTCTCTTAGCATTCGGTTTAATTACCCAATAATTAATTAATTACCTAGTAAATGTCTTTCCAAAGTCAAATCTATCAAATTTCTTTTTCTTTTTCTTTAATTAATCCCAATTTTTTGAGATTAATTCCTGCAAAGGAACAGGTTTTTTTTCTTAAAGTTAAGCATTAAATCCTTTCTTTTTTTCTTTTCTCTTTCCCTTCAAAACATTCTTTTCCTTTTTCTTTTCCCATCCCTATTTTTCCTTTCCCATGAAGTCATCAATACTCTCATCCGAAAAGCATAAGCCCTTTAAAGACACTTCATTCATTTTTTTTAGGTTTTCTTCTAGAAAAAGATTGGTTGCTTATTGATAGAGTTCGGTTTTTTAGGCTCTATTAGTCGATTGGTCGATTGGTTCTATTCGTTCTATTGGTTCTGAGCTTCCTGAATATCTAGAAGCTTTTGGCTTAGGCTTAGGCTTAGGCTCCTAGCCAGCTTTCTTTTCCTAGCCAGCTTTCATTCCATTTCTCTTATTTTGCCAAACTCAAGTGCTTCTTTCCACGACTTGTTTGAGCTCTTTGTGCTCAAGGAAAACACGCTTTCTAGTGCAAACGTTTCTTCAGTTAATTTCAATGAGATCTAGATGTAGAACCCTTTACCCTAGAGCAAGTAAAGCAATGGGAAAAAATTTGGAAAGGGGAATTGAACTGGCCTTCTACTTACCCTTCTACTTATCCTTTTGCTTCCTCGCCCGCTCCCTTCGCTCCGCCCCCCCTTCTACTTATCCTTCTACTTATCCTTCTTCTTACCCTTCTTCTTACCCTTCTTCTTACCCTTCTTCTTACCCTTCTTCTTACCCTTCTTCTTACCCTTCTTCTTACCCTTCTTCTTACCCTTCTGCTTACCCTCTACCAATCCTTCTACTTACCCTTCTACTTACCCTTCTTCTTACCCTTCTTCTTACCCTTCTTCTTACCCTTCTTCTTACCCTTCTACTTACCCTTCTTCTTACCCTTCTTCTTACCCTTCTTCTTACCCTTCTGCTTACCAGCTCTACTACAGAGCTATCACCTTTTTCCTCAAGAAGAAATAGAAAAGACAAGGAAGACAGGAAGAAGGCAGGAAGAAGAAAGGAAGAAAACAGGAAGAAGAAAGAAAAAGAAGTTAATTCAGACAAGTTCCCACTAAACTGTAAAATTTCCAAAACAGTTCATTTTCTTTAAAGACTCTATCTATAATTCTTATCTTGGATACCTTTTTTTCCCCACAAAAAATTCACCTCTACATTCTATCGAAAGAGATGAAAGTGATAGATTCAATTGTGTCTCTTGAGCTTCATCTTCATCTTTTCTTCACCCTCCTTTGCCCCCAATTTTCCAGAATCCCTTTTCCCTATATAAAGATGTGAAAAGTGAGTATCTTCTTCTATTTCTTGTCTATTTTTTTGAATAAAGAATAAATAGAAATCTTTTTTTATTCTTTTTCACCCAAGTGGCTTCTTTAATGATCTATCTTCATTGAATTAAAGTTTTCAAAAAAAATCTAGACTATTACTACGTTTTTGAGTGAATCGGCAAGCTTTGAAAGCCTATAACTTCATCCAAAGACAATATTATTCTTAACTCTTTATACCATTGGATAGAAGAGATTTTTGGCTTTCAAATGATACCAAATAGAGTCTGATTGGATAATTCAATCTAAGAAAATCAAAGCCAAACTGAGCAACTAAGGTCGATTCAACTTGAGTGCCGTGTCGCCTGGTTTTCATGGGAATGAAAAATCCAATCAAGCTCTATTTGGTATCATTCAAAAGCCTGAAATTTCCTCTATCCAATGATATAAAAAGTTAGTAATAATATTGTCTCTGAATGAAGTTATAGCCTTAAAGCTGGCGCAAGATGGTCAAGACGCAAGATGCTTCTAACTTTTTCCCAAATTCTTTCTTGTTTCGCTCAAAATACACGGAAACGCGGGAAGAGCCATATAACTAATCTTTCTATTGTAATTTTTCATGGCTATACTGTTCTAGAAGGCCAAAACTTTAACTTGACTCGATCTAGAGTAGGGGAGATCAAGTGCGTTGTGGTGTGATGGTTAGCACAGTTGCGTGGTAAGCGAAAGGTCACTGGTTCGAGTCCCATCGGAGCGCAAGCTTTTTGACCTGCCCTAGTTCCAACTGTTTTTCTTTTGACCACTTTCTGCTTTCTTTCAATTTCCATCTCATACTGTTAGCTAAATATTAAAGACTCGAGTTTATCGATCTGACTCTGAACATCCTCGTTAGTTTTTAAAGCTAATTTTCAAAGCATTTGTTTTACTGATGAATGAAATTCAGTCGTGGATGGACCCGGAGCAGCGGGTGATCCTGAATGTTGGTGGGATTCGACACGAGACATACACACATGTGCTCAAGAAAATCCCGGCCACACGGTTGAGTCGGTGAGTGGATTTTGAATAGATAGATAGACAGACTGATAGACAGACAGACAGACAGATAGACGGACAGAGATAGACAGATAGACAGACAGACAGACAAAAGTCATTGTAAGTGACCAAAAGCCAGCTAAAATCGATTTGATGTTCTCAAGATTGATGGGTAAACATGTGTAAAACATTTGAAGTTGCAGGAAAAGGAAAAGGGATACTCTGGCCAAAGGAAAGTCAGTCAGTCAGTCAAAATTAGTCACCTATTTTTCACATCTTAAGTTTTTAAGTTAGACATAGGCTTGAAATAGGTTTGAAATGTACTTTTTATTTAGAAATTTAACAAACTCTATTTCTAGTACCTCCAATCTAAGCTGTTAAAAGGGTAACGAAATCTGTAAAGAAAAGAAACCAAATCTGTAGAGAAAAGGAATCAAATCTGTAGAGAAAAGGAACTAAATCTCGAGAGCCGCTTATCAGAACCTATCGATGTGGGGTCGGAAAATGTAGCTAACGATGAGAGCTTTGGGGGATTTAGAGTGTTGAGCTTCTGTGAAAACTTTGAAAGCCGTAAAATAGTCACCAACTCGGCTCACTACTATTAGTCAGACTACGGTAGATCAATTTGCATATTAAATCAAGCTATTACTAGCAATTTGCAAATTAAAGATGCAAGAAATATCAAAAAATTTTTCGAATTAAAAAAAATACAAAAAAAAGTGTTTAGATTAACGCCAAATTTGGCTAATTACGACTCGGTGTTGAATGAATATTTTTTCGATCGACATCCTGGAGTTTTCGCAATGATTTTAAACTATTACAGAACCGGTGAGTTCTTTACTTTTCATGATTTAATAACTGATATTCTGCTGGCAAGAATTGTTTAATTACTCAAGTCAAACCAAAGCCATAACTTTTACTAGTGGCTGGTTCAATTACCCAAGTTTATCGTGGTCAATCTTGGAAGAATCAAAGCCGATCCAATTTTCAATCTTGCAAGAAGCTTTTGAAAGGCTTTGAGCTTAAAAACTCAAAATGAAACTGCCCGGTTCAATTAGCCCGGCTCAATTACCCAATTTCCTAATTTCCAGGCAAACTTCATTACCCGACAAACGTTTGTGGTCCACTTTTCGAGGAAGAACTTGAGTTTTGGGGTCTTGACGCGAATCAGGTGGAACCGTGCTGTTGGATGACGTACACGCAACATCGGTATGCAAAAGTTGTGATCAAAGATCAAAGTTGTGATCGAAAATGCAATTATGACAATATTTTAGAGACACTCAAGATACTCTGGCTGTGATTGAGTCTTTGGATTTGGATCGCGATCCTCCCACCGAAGAAGAGGTTTTCTTTTGAAGAGGTTACGAAAAAAACAAGCTTTTAGGTGGCGAAGAAATTCGGTTGGGAAGACGATTACTACTCACATTCGTTGAATTGGTCAGTGAGAAGGCAATTCCTGAAATCGAGTGTCGTTTTTTCTAAAGTTTATCCAAACTCTAAGCCTCTTTGTGAAATGTTGAACGCACCTTTTCTAGGGCACTGAATTCTTTGTCGTTTGCAAGCGGTTCTGATCGCGAGAAAATCGAGAGTGCATCAGAAAGGGTGCGTTTAGAAAAGGTTGATCACAAAGTCCATCAAACAAAATAAGGGTCAAGAGCCAAGAACGTTACTAACTTCCTTGGTTGTTAAAAGACCGAGCCAAAGCTAGGCCAATCCAAAGCCGAGCCAAAGCCAAGCCAAAGCCAATCCAAAGCTAAGCCAAAGCCAAGCTAAAGTCAAGCCAAAGCCGAGCCAGAGCTAAGCCAAGCTAAAGCCAAGCTAAAGCCAAGCTAAAGCCAAGCTAAAGCCAAGCTAAAGCCAAGCCAAAGCCGAGCCAAAGCCAAGCCATGCCAAGCCGTGCCAAGCCATGCCAAGCCATGCCAAGCCATGCCAAGCCATGCCAAACCAGTTTTTTCACCAATCCTTTTCCTTTCCAATCACAAATCTACTCTTGTTTAGGTACTTTAGGTATTTAAGGTTTTGAGCTTCTGTGAAAACTTGAAAACCGTAAAATAGTTGATCAACTGGATCAATTTTCTACCAATAAACTACCAAATTTCCCCCTAACTCTCTAAAATATCTTTAAATTCTAACTAATTCTAACAAATTCCAGGTGGCAACGAACAAAACCTCGTCTGTGGGCACTTTTCGACGATCCAAACTCGTCAAAATTGGCACAGGTCGGTGAAAACACTGAAAACCCATACAGAATCCTTTACAAATCCATAAAATCCTTAATCTTTCTTTTCATTTTCTTTCATTTTCTTTCATTTTCTTTTATTTTCTTCTCATTTTCTTCCTTTTCCCACAAAATAACAAATTTTCTTTACTTTTTGGGTGTTCTTTAGCTTTCAAATTTAACCCAAATGCATGAAAAAAAAAGAAAAAAAAAAAAAGAAACCCTCTGGTGTGAGCTTAATTTTTGTGGCTTTTTTTTTTTTTGGGAAAGTTTTTGGTTGATTTGAAAAATTACTATAGTACAATACTAGTACTAATGTACTGTAAGCTACTGTAAGCTTACTGTACTAGTACTGTAAGCTTTTCTAACGAAATTTCCTATAGCTGATGTAACAATGAGGTGGGGAGAAGTTGGAGGAAAGTTGGGGAAGGAGTGATCCAAAGTTCAGATTCGTTCCTACCTCTCGGTGATCGTCGTTTTGGTGAGCATTCTATCATTTATGGCGAAGACGCATCCCTACTTTCGAATACCACAAATAACCGGTGAGATTTATAGAAACTGGCTTTCTGGCTTTTCACCTAGTTTACACATTCGTGATGAGAAGTTGAAAAGCCAAGAGACGGAGTTGCTCTGGCTTAGGCTCAGGCTTAGGCTTAGGCTCAGGCTCAGGCTCAGACTCAGACTCAGGCTCAGGCTCAGGCTTAGGCTCAGGCTCAGACCCAGACGCCCAGGAACAACTTTGATACTAGGGATTGCTCTGGGAGTACTATCCGTTGTTAGAAAGTATTAATGTTAAAGTATTAATAGTTAGAATCTTGTAGCTTCCAAGCTAGACAATGGATATCAGAACCAGATCCAGACCTGGCTTTTGTACTGGTTAGCACTGGCTTCTACGGACCAGTACTGGCTTTTACGAACCAGTATTGGCTTCTACGAACCAGTATTGGCTTCTACGGACCAGTATTGGCTTCTAAGGACCAGTACTGGCTTCTATGGACCAGCACTGGCTTCTACAAACCAGTACTGGCTTCTACGAACCAGTATTGGCTTCTACGAACCAGTATTGGCTTCTAAGGACCAGTACTGGCTTCTATGGACCAGCACTGGCTTCTACAAACCAGTACTGGCTTCTACGAACCAGTATTGGCTTCTACAAACCAGTACTGGCTTCTTGCAGCTCTATCAGCAGCTATCAGCTCTATCAGCAGCTATCAGCTCTATCAGCAGCTATCAGCTCTATCAGCAACTCTGTTAACAGCTCAGTTTTATTGCACCAGAAGGGTTGTTTTTCAATTTCTGAGCTCAAAGAACCAGCTAGCAATCGAATTTTAGTGATTTACGAGACGGGCGTCATTCTGGAGAATCGTCGAGCGGCGATCGGTGCGATCAAAGATTTCACACAACCTTGGTCTCATTTCTTCTACATTGACGCGATTTGCAATGTCTGGTTCACTTTTGAGCTGGTTTATTATAAGAATTTGATCTTCAAAAAGATTTCATTTCTTAGATAGCCCGTCTATTTTTCTGCCCAAACATATCGAAATTTCTGCGCTCACCGCTGACGATCATTGACATTATTTGTACAGTGGCTTACTATATCGACTTGTTACTGCACGCTATATTGTTGCAAGCAGGTAGATTTATTGTAGCTAGTTTTTATCAATAGGATTGGGATAGGATTGGGATAGGATTACGATAGGTACTTAGCTCTGGGATTACGGTGTCTAGATAAGCTACAGTGTCGGGATTACGTCGGGATTACATCGGGATGACGTCAGGATTACGGTAACTACGTATTAGAACCTATAGAAGCCATCTAGATAATCAAATAGTCATTGTACCAATAGGATTACGATAGGTACTTAGTTTTTTGATTACGGTGTCTAGACAAGCTACAGTGTTGTCGGGATTACGTCGGGATTACGGTAGCTACGTATTAGAACCTATAGAAGCTAACTAGATAATCAAATAGCCATTTTATCAATAGGATTACGATAGGTACTTAGTTTTGGGATTACGGTGGCTAGATAAGCTATAGTGTTGTCGGGATTACATCGGGATGACGCCTGGATTACGGTAGCTATGTATTAGAACCTATAGAAGCTAACTAGATAGTCAAATAGCCATTTTATCAATAGGATTACGATAAGTACTTAATTTTGGAATTACGGTGGCTAGATAAGCTACAGTCTTGTCAGGATTACGTCGGGATGACGCCTGGATTACGGTAGCTACGTATTAGAACCTATAGAAACCAACTACATAATCAAATAACCATTTTATCAATAAATAAATCAACTTTCACCTTCAGATTATCTATCCAAATCATCAAATGAATATTTCCCAGGCTCAATCGTGACTCTCGATTTCTTGTCGATGATCTGCGTGATGCGCCTTTTCAAGCTCACACAACACTTTTCCGGGTTGAAGATTTTAATACAAACTTTTAAGGTAAAGAAAAAACAAAGCAAATAAACCCCGACAGCTGCAAATGAAACTTTTAGGCATCCGCTGAAGAATTGGGTCTCTTAGTCTTTTTCGTTTTGTTAGCCATTGTGATATTCGCGGCATTGGTTTATTATGCGGAGAGGAGTCAACTCAATCCTGATAATCAGTTCACATCGATACCGACTGGGTTGTGGTGGTGAGCTTGGAAAAGAGACAGGCCAGATTAGGGCCAGGGCCAGGCTTAGACAGGCCAGATTAGGGCTAGGGCTAGGCCTGGACCAGGCTTAGACAGGCCAGATTAGGGCCAAACTAGGCTTAGGCCAGGCCAGGACCAGGCTAGGCTACTGTATCTATACAAAAATCGAACTTCCAGGAGTCTCATCACCGTTTCCACCGTCGGCTTTGGTGACATGGTGAGTTTATCAAAAAACAAGCCGCTAAACGTAAACCTAGGTCCCAAAAACGTGGCTGGGAATGGTGGTCGGATCGGTTTGCGCGATGATGGGCGTGTTGACGATAGCGTTACCCGTGCCCGTCATTGTCTCGAATTTCTCGAATCTCTACTCTCATTCACAGGCACGATCAAAGTTGCCGAAGAAGCGGAGAAGAGTTTTACAGGTTTGGGTTCAAGCTATAGTTTCGGATCCAGCGCTAGCCTTAGCCAGATCCTGTAAGCCAGAACAGGCCAGACAAGATCCAGATCCAGGTTCCGATCCAGGTCCAGGTTCAGGGCCAAATCCAGGTCTAGGTCCAAGATTAGGGCCAGGTCCAGGTCCGACTACAGGTTTAAGTACAGGTCCAGTTGCAATTCCAGATCTAGGTCCAGGTCCAGGCCCGGCTCCAGGTTTAGGTCCAGATCCAGGATCAGGTACAGGGCCAGGGCCAGGCCCAGGATCCGATTCAGGTCCAACTACAGGTCTGAGTACAGGACCAGGTCCAATTTCAGATCTAGGTCGAGGTCGGGCTCCAGGTTTAGGTCCAGATCCAGGATCAGGTCCAGGTACAGATCTAAGCTCTAAGTTAAGGTCAGACCAGAGTTAGACCTGATCAGAAGCCAGGTTCAGTGTTTGACTTGGCTGTAAGTATGTTTCCTATTCTAGCTCTAGGAGCGGAAAGTAGGACCGGCTTTGACCTAAAAACCTGGTCCCCGGACCTGGTCCATGATCTGGACCTAAACCTGGAGCCGGACCTGGACCTGGACCTAGATCTGAAATTGGACCTGGTCCTGTTTAAAATCAAAAGAAGTCACCCGATTGCAGGCTCACGAGGTAAAACCGAATCTCCTGAGCGTGAAGAGTGTTCCGGGGAAACCGCGAAAACGTTCAAACACCCCAGCCACCCCGCCAATCGATCAACGAAAAACGGGGATCAATGGAGGGGCCGATGTGGGCAAAGGAGAAGAGATGGCGAGAACACCGAGAAGTGCCAAGGGACATTTACATCATTCAAATCCACACTCGTCTGCGAATCACCAGGAGGCGAATAGGTTGATCGAGAATTAGTCCCTAGCTCATTTGAGACGTTTAGAGATTAGTGGATAGTTTGATATTTCTCTAGTTGACTGACTTGATCCAGAAGCCAAACTCAATCAGAATCAATCCAAAGGACAGTGCTCAGCTGTCCCCAGCTCTATCAATGACCATAAGTATTGTATCGATCGTTAAAACTGAGTCAAGCCTTTTTCCTAGGTCTAGCGCTGTCTACAGTAGTGCCTACAGTAGTGCTAAGTACTTTTTCTGCTCATTATTCTAAGCCTTATCCATCTCAGCTCAAAAGTACTCACTTTATGAGTACTGTTTGAGTTCTAGCTCGAAAACTGTACTGAGTACTAAATCTAAGTCTGTGTTGGGAAATTAGTACTGTACTGTACTGTATGCGTACTGTAACTAGCCTTTTATAGTACTGAGCCTGTTTCATATCAATTTTGATAAAAAAGCAAAAGGAAAATCCGAGCTCGGGGATCGAACCCGCGAGGTGTCGCTCAAGAAACGACCGCTCTACCACTCGGCTAAGACCCCGCCTGATTGCAGCCCCCAAATGACCGCTAAGACGCCGCTAGGACCCAAATGATCACAAAGTCCTAACAGAACTTTAGAGGCTTATAACTCCTGACAGATTGTCATTTGACAAAAACGGAATACATATTCGGAATCAGGATCAAATTCTGTGTCAACAGGTATAGGTGGGAGAGGATCTGATCGGTTAGCTGAGCGGCTCAGTTAGCTGATTTCTTGTGAGTACTGTAAAAAGCTTGTTTTATCTCAAATCACACTTCCTAACTATAAAAATTCTATTTTTGATTCCTAATTTGATTTAAGACTCATTTAAGACGTAATTACGAGATTCTAATTTCTAAATACTTTACTATAACTTCTGAATCAAAGCAGTTAAATCAAGAAATCTCTAGAACTATCTAAAACTCAAGTCTTTCAACTTTTCGATGAGAAATCCTTTTCTTTAAATAAAAATGAATTTGAATTTGAAGCTGAATTTGGATTTAAAGCTGAATTTGGATTTGAATTTGAATTTGAAGCCGAATTTGAATTTGAAGCTGAATTCGAATTCGGATTTGAATTTGAATTTGAATTCGAAGCCGAGTTTGAATCCGAATTCGAATCTTAATTTGAATTCAAATCTGAATTCAAATCTGAAAAAAGAACTCGTTTTCTGATATCTTTACAAATATGGGTATGTTTTTTCTTTTGTTTTTTTTTACAAAACTTTTCGTGTCAACTTTTTTGTCTTTTTTTTTTTGGAAAGAATTGCCTTTAAACTTTTTATTTTGCATCTTTGTGAATAAATTCTTGTTATTTTCAAGCTTTTACACCAATTTTGTGTGACTTTGGATTTCCTGCATGATGTTTTGAGCTGAAAAAAATGGTGTTTTTTTTCGGGCTCCTTTTTTCGCATGTTAGTTCACTTTTCCAGCATGATTTCTTAACAATTTTGCGAGATTTTCTCACGAAAAATCCCATCTTTTCTCTTCTTTTCTATCTTCTTTAAGAAAAAATGGATAAGGTTTGAAAAAAAAGGAAAAAATGGAAAAACATTGCCAAAAAAAAATGGATACAGACGAACAAATTGCGTTTAGAAATGTTTAGAAATGTTTGAGAGATGCTGTGAAGAGAAAATAGAGATTCGATTATAGGAAATCGATTAGGAAATCGATTAGAAAAGGAATTAGAAAAGGAATTAGAAAAGGAATTAGAAAAGGAATTAGAAAAGGAATTAGAAAAGCTATTAGAAAAGCTATTAGAAAACCGATTAGAAAATTGATTAGAAAAGCTATTAGAAAAGCTATTAAAACAGCAAAGCAATTAGAAAATCTGTTTTTCTGAGTTTTATCTTTGAAAACCTTTTCCAGGGAATCGGCGCTGCCTCAATCATTTTCGTGATCGCGTCGATCGTCTCGTTTTGCCTTAAAACCCATCCGTCGCTAAGGTAAATCATTGGGTTTAATCCGTAAAATCTATTCAAAGAACACATTTATTCATATAAATATCAATACTAAAAATCAAGCACAACCTTTTTTATGCAAAAAACCATAAAAAAGTAATAATGTAGCTGGCGGGATTGAACCCGACTAGAATCGAAGGACCCCACGACTTATACACAGGGCTCTTAGCCAGTCGGCCACAGCGGCTATTCTCGTGGAGATAAAAGAAGCCATTTAACCATGGTAGGTAAAAGATCTAGCTGACGGGATTGAACCCGACTAGTGGCCAGGAACCCCGTCGACTCAGATACTGGCCTCTTAGCCTAGTCGGTCATGCCAACCGGCGAATAGATAGAAAAAGGGGTTTTAACCATAATTGGCCTCTTAGCCATGGCTGTTTAACCATGGCGACTCAGATACTGGCCTTAGCCATAGAAATTGGATAGGAATTGGATCATTTTTGTTATATTAACGATCGTTGTTCCCCTAATAGTAGTGAGTTTTTGGCTAAATTTGTAAAAAGACTAGAAGCTAAAGCTTAAAAATTGCTTAGAAGAACCTATCAATGTGAAAAATGCAGATGAGACGATGAGATCTTGTTGTAGAGTGGTGTTCTTTGAGTGTTGAGTCATTGTTTGAGTGTTATTTAAGGGTTGAAACTTCTGTGAAAACTTGAAAACCGTAAAATAGTCATCAACTATTTGCATTGCCTAACTATTAGGGAAAATTTGAAAATTCTAAAATCCGATAACTCATTTTTCTTTTCAATGAGCAATCGATATGAGTTGCTGGTTGAAGCTAAAGCCTAGAATCAATCTAGAAGTGTTTTCAAAGCTGTATTATTCGATTTTTATTAAAACAATAGCCCAAAATAAAGCATAAAACAGACAGCATTTTTTGACATAAATGACTTCAAAAAAACAACTTTCAGAATCCCGACGCTTATCGTTTCGCAAATAAACACGAGCATGCCGACACTTGTCTCAAAAGTGGTCACCAGGTGGGTGAAAATACCAGAAAACAGTTCTAGATCATTCCAGGGAAAGCAAGGTCAGGCTTGGCTTAGACTTAGGCCATCAAGTCATCAAGCCAAGCCATCAAGCCAAGCTACCAAGCATCAAATTTGAGGCTAAGCTTGACTTTGCTCGCCAAAAATCCATCAAAGCTAGACTTGAACCTGTCTTTTCGGATCTAGCTTTTTGCAGATCTGGACTAAATGATCAGTAAAAAGACTGGAGTCAATAAAAAACAAGATTCGAATCAATTGGTCAATCAATTTTGGTGAAAAACTCTGTTAAAACAACTTTTTCCAGGCCACATCCCTATTTTTTCTATGTGGAATTGATGTGTAACATGTGGTTCTCCGCTGAATTTCTACTCCGATTGCTTTGTTGTCCAAATGTGAGTCTTAAGGACAAGTTTTGAGTCTTGTCTTGAGTCTTGAGGCTTGACTCTTTCGACTTGAGTCGTTCAAGTCGGTATCGAATCGAAATCGGTATTTCATACCGTTTTTTTCCATAGGCAAACTTTGAGCTCAAATTTCTTGGTGTTCAGTTGTTCAATTTATAAATTATTAATATCATTAGATGCGTTTTCTCTTTCTCTATCGATTTGTTTAGAAATTATTTATATTAAACAGATAAAGACGAAGAAATTTGAGTTCAAAGTTGGATTGCTAATGGGGAAAGAAGTTTATTCTCAAAGAAACGTTCATATCTCGACACTAGTACGTTTCTTTCTGCCCGCTTAGGTATCAAATTAAAGTCGATAGGATGGGCGATTTTTTGTGATATAACACATATTTTTAGCATTAACCAGCGCTTAGAAAAAATGATTGAAAGGTGGAAAAAAAAGCCGATTTTTATCATTTTCAATCATTTTGTTCTAAGCGCTGGTTAATGCTAAAAATATGTGTTATACCATAAAAAATCGCCCATCCTCTCGACTTTAATTTGATACCTAAGCGGGCGGAAAGAAACGTACTAGTGTCGAGATATGAGCGGTTCTTTGAGTGTAAACTTAGACTACGCGACGCTCTTACGGGGGGCTTCTCAAACTCAAAAGCTGATAGCTCAAAGCTGATAGCTCAAAAGCTGATAGCTCAAAAGCTGATAAGCTTTAAGCTCGTCTTTAATTTCTATTCGAGTATTTACGGTAGTTCAATTATCTATTACTACACTATTTGAATGTTGAGTACTTTTAGAAATATTGAAACAAGAACAAAGTAATAAGGGCTTTTATACGCAAGGCCCCGCCCCTTTTCCCTTTTCCCAATCAAATCTTAATAACATAACTTCACAGATTCCATCTTTTATTCGAAATCCGATTAACATCATCGATCTAATCGCGACGATTTCATTTTATGTCGATTGGACATTAGATACGGCTTTGAGTAACAGGTGAGGCGCTTTTCATTTCAAATATTTCAAATATTTCATATAAATTCCATTGTGCATTACAAATTTCAAACTCGAAAGCTGATAAGCCTTAAGCGCGTCTTTAATTCCTTATATCTATTAACGTTTAGAGACTCAGTCGAATTTTTCTCAATCATTCGTATCCTTCGTCTCTTCAAATTGACTCAACACTCACTGGGACTCAAAATTCTCATCGCTACATTCAAAGCCTCAGCTCAGGTTGGGGGAAAAAGTTTCTCTAAAAAAATCACAATCACAGAATCACATATTGATTTTCTGTATTTTCTGTAATAGTAGTGCAGTCTATTACTTCAAGATTACGGTAGTGCAGTGTGTAATAGTAATGCAGTCTACTACCTCAAGATTACGGTAATGCAGTCTACTACCTCAAGATTACGGTAAGGCAGTCTACTACCTCAAGATTACGGTAATGCAGTCTACTACGTCAAGATTACGGTAAGGCAGTCTACTACCTCAAGATTACGGTAAGGCAGTCTACTACCTCAAGATTACGGTAATGCAGTCTACTACCTCAAGATTACGGTAAGGCAGTCTACTACCTCAAGATTACGGTAATGCAGTCTACTACCTCAAGATTACGGTAAGGCAGTCTACTGCTTCAAGATTACGGTAATGTAGTGTACAATAGTAGTGCAGGCTGGAGGGGGGTTCAAAAAATAATATTGCCCACTACTATTACAGAAAATACGGCACTTACAGAAAATACGGTCAATTGCCCAAAAATTGATGAGTAAATAGAATCGACTCTGCGGAACAACATATTAAAAATTCAACTACAAAGCTTCAAGATTACGGTAGTTATAACGATAGCACCTCTAAAAAGAAAAAAAATTTTCAAGACAGACTCGAACCTGGGAGCGTCAGCTTTGTAACTGAGGGCACTACCACCACACCACCGTGCGATCTGTTCAGGAGGCTAATTAGCCCAAATATCTTTGCGAAGGACCCAAACCCAAACCCAGAAATCTTACAGAACATTAAAAACAGTATAACTACCGTAATCTTGAAGCTTTGCAGCTGAATTTTTAATATGTTGTTCCGCAGAGTCGATTCTATTTACTCATCAATTTTTGAGCAATCGGCGTCCATAAATCTATGTGATTCCCTTGTAATTTCCAACTGAAATTCAAATCTCTATTTATTTCAGGAACTTTTCTTATTGGTTTTCTTCGTTTGTTTGGGAATTGTTATTTTTGCCGCCTTGGTTTATTATGCCGAACGACTCACTTATAATCCGGGTGAGTGATCGGGGAAAGAGAGATTGAGTTCAAGAGATACTGTAAGCACTGGTACTAATTGACCCTGTAGACATTTGGGATTACTGTAGGCAAGATTTCTGTCCTAGATTCTCTAGTACTAATAGTAATAGGTATTGTCTTCAGTGCTAGTTACGGGGGGTGGGACAAATGCGACCTTTTTTTTGCGCACCTGGACATTTGCGCACCTTTTTTTTGCTGGAAAAGGCCTTAGGCAAGGCCGTAGAGCTTCGAGAACACGTCAACTTTGGGTTAAAAGGCAAAAACTGCGGAAAAGCGTTAAGTTGCGTAGTTTTTGCCTTTTAGCCCAAATTTGACGTGTCAGCGAGGTCCGATTTGTCGAAATTCGGAATCTACGCATACGATTCCCTTATATGGAAATATTTGCGAAATATTCTCGAAGCTCTACGGCCTTGCCTAAGGCCTTTTCCAGCAAAAAAAAGGTGCGCAAATGTCCGGGTGCGCAAAAAAAAGGTCGCATTTGTCCCACCCCCCTAGTTACGATACGTGTTAAGCATTGGTAATTAATCCTGTAGAAGCTTGGGATTACTGTACTTCTAGGTACAGTAATTCCAAGTACAGTACTCTTGCAGTACTTCTAGGTACAGTATTTCCAAGTACAGTACTCCTACAGTACTCCCAAGTACAATACTCCTACAGTACTTCCAAGTACAGTACTCTTACAGTACTTCCAAGTACAGTACTCTTACAGTGCAGTACTTCAGTTCAATCCCAGCCAATTACACAATACCCTAGGTACGGTAAGCACTACGTTAGCTAGCTAATGTAAATAGTTTCGTACGTAGGCGTTAGATTCTGCAGAAGCTGGTTACTGTAAGGCATACTGTAGTCTTATTTAGGTAATCAATTTGACTCGATCCCCGTCGGCCTTTGGTGGGCGGTGATCACGATTTGTACGATTGGATTTGGAGATTTGGTTGGTTCAAAGAAATTACATAAAAGCAAGTAAAGAGCTTGAAAATCAATTCAAATTTAAAAGCAAATCAAAACTTTCGAAAATTTCAGGTCCCAAAGACATGGCTTGGCATGGCGGTGGGATCAGTGTGCGCGTTGATGGGCGTGTTGACGATCGCTTTGCCCGTGCCTGTTATCGTCTCCAACTTTGCCATGTTTTATTCCCATGCACAAGCCAGGTCTGATGCAATTCTTGCAATTCTTGATGATCTGCTGATTTTAGAGCAAAACTGCCAAAGAAACGACGTCGAGTGCTGCAGCCACACGAAATCAAACCAATAGTAGGAAGACAGACAACAGCGGCATTGCTTGGCCAGCTTGCGCCGAACAATAACAATGGTAACTTGATTCTAAATTTTGATCCGAAACTTGGGTAATTAAACCGCGAGAGGGGCTTTCCGGTGGAGTAATGCCGAGGCAATATGCCAGAAGCTGTTTTTTCTTACGAGTGACATAAAAAGAACGCACAAAGTTTGGGTGATAAGAATGGTAACTTGATTTTAAAATGATCCGAAACTTGGGTAATTAAACCGGGGGAGGGGCTTTCCGGTGGGGTAATGCCGAGGCAGTGTGCCAGACGCCGCTTTTTCTTACGAGTGACATGAAAAGAACGCACAAAGTTTGGGTGATAAGAATGGTAACTTGATTCTAAACTGATCCGAAACTTGGGTAATTAAACCGGGGGAGGGGCTTTCTGGTGGGCTAATGCCCAGGCAATGTGCCAGAGGCTGTTTTTTCTTACGAGTGACATGAAAAGAACGCACCAAGGTTCGGGTGTTACTTCGAAAATCGATTTTTCTAATTTTTACAAAAAATTACACAATTTTCAAATAAAACTAAAGTTAGATTCGGAAAAAGGACTTAAAATTACATTTTCTTACAAATCTTGAGCTTATTTGAAAGACTTTAAATTAAGATATTGAGTCCAAAAAGATTTCTATTGCATCATTCAATAAAGATGAAGAAAAGTAAAGCTTAGCTTTCGAAATTCAAAGCAAAGTCGATTTCCCAGTACTACACTTTATAGTAGATTGTTTTCAGTGTACTTTGTGCTCAAGAACGTAAACAAAAGCCTTCTAGTACACTGGTAAAGTTGAGGTTGAATTGATTTAGGTATTTATCTATTGGGTTGGTGAATTGAAAACTGCGGACTATTGTCAGATGTGACAATTTGAGCACTTTCTTCAAAAGAAACCCATTTTGGTGTCAATGGGAAAGTTGTAGAGAATCAAAAATCAAGCTTATATCCAAATTTTCAGAACGATTCAAAAACTGGTTTTCAAGAAATACCAAATTTACGAATTTTCACCAAACTTGCATTTTAAGCGAAACTAATAAGCGTATCTTTTTGCAAATTTGGCTATAAGCCTAATTTTTGATTCTCTACAACTTTTCTATTGACACCAAAATGGGTTTCTTTTGAAGAAAGTGCTCAAATTAGGACATTGGGACATCTCCAGTCTCCAGTCCTCCATTTTTGAGTCCCACACTTGTCTCACACACAAACCAAAATCCTACCGCGCAAGAGGAATCCGCAAATTACCTGTAAAATGGCCAAAAGTCGTCAATAATAATGGAAATTATTTCGAATAAATTCATGGTTTTATGTTGAATAAATTTTAGTTCAAAGTCCCGCAGTTTTCAATTCACCACCCAAAAACCAATCCAATACTTATAAATACCGAATTTAGTATCAGAAGTAGTTATAGAAGTACTTTTATACTTACAAAACTAATCAAAAACAAATCTTTAACTATTTAACAATAAATTTCGACTTAAACTTTAGATTTAAAACTTAAAATTAAACTTTAAAAAGCTTTATAAAGGCCTCACCACTCCACGTGAAGAAAAAAAGAAAGAACAAGAGAAATTTTGAGTTTTTCAAAGAAAGGTAACGTTAAAAAGCTTTTAAAACCTTTTAAAACCTTTTAAAACCTTTTAAAACCTTTTAAAACCTTTAAAACCTTTTAAAAACCTTTAAAACCTTTTAAAAATCACTTTTATTTCTTAAAATGCACCCTTTTCTATCTTAGTTTTTAGAAATTTCATTTTAAAAGCTTATTTGTTTCAAAAAGTTTCAAATTTCCTCTCTATCACTCAATTTTAGAGATTTTCTTTAAATTTAAATCTTTTGTTTCAATGTTTCAAAGAAAATAAATTACAATTTTTCTTTAGGTTCAATCAATTGTCACACTGCTCCACTTCTCGTTTGCCCACAAAATACATTACCAATGAAAAAATCACCAACTTCTGGTAAAGCGAAACAAATGTTATGATTGATTATGAAATAAATTTTTTTTAAATACAAGAAAAAAAGCAAAGAAATAAGCTTAATAAGATGAGTGCTTTGAGCTCCGACAAACGGACACTTTCTGGCATACTTACTGAAGTGTCAGCTTTGATAACGACTAAAGCCCAGACAACGGTAGTCAAGAATTTGAATGCCAGCTTTCTGGAGTCAAGCCAGTTTTCTGGAGTTCCAGCTTTCTAGAATGTCAGCTTTCTAAAGTCAAGGCAGCTTTCAAGAGTCAAGCCAGCTTTCTAGAGTCAAGCCAGTTTTCTGGAGTCCCAGCTTTCTAGAGTGCCAGCTTTCTGGAGTGCCAGCTTTCTAGAGTGCCTGCTTTCTAGAGTCAAACCAGCTTTCAAGAGTCAAGCCAGCTAGTCAAGCCAGCTAGTCAAGCCAGCTAGTCAAGCCAGCTAGTCAAGCCAGCTAGTCAAGCCAGCTAGTCAAGCCAGCTAGCCAAGCCAGCTAGTCAAGCCAGCTAGTCAAGCCAGCTAGTCAAGCCAGCTAGTCAAGCCAGCTAGTCAAGCCAGCTAGTCAAGCCAGCTAGCCAAGCCAGCTAGTCAAGCCAGCTAGCCAAGCCAGCTAGTCAAGCCAGCTAGCCAAGCCAGCTAGCCAAGCCAGCTAGCCAAGCCAGCTAGCCAAGCCAGCTAGCCAAGCCAGCTAGTCAAGTATTTGACAAGTTTTAAAAACTCATAAATCACAGAGCTTGATGACTTAAATCAATCACAATTAAACTAATCTTGTAAACGCTAGGAATCTAGGAAAGCTAGGAAAGCGCACCGGTTTTTAGTTTGAGCTCTAGTATCTCAAAAAGCGTTGTCAGAGCTTAAAGCTCAAAGAAAGCAACTACACTCTATTGACAAACTGGCTGATGATAAATGAGACAAGTACAGAGATAGACAAGTAGATAAAGATTTGATATTTCTGTATTTCATATTTAGTAACCTATTCAATTCTTTTCTTTGAACAAAACCGGTTTTTCTTTTGCTCTCTCTTTTCATTTTCCGGCATTTCTCTAGACAATTTCCTTCTCTCAAATCCTTTCTTTGGTAGTTCGAGATTGTTACACGTGGACATGATGATTTCAGTGAAATTTGTAGAGCAACGGCTTGGAGCAAACAGCTTAAATTTCATTTTTCATCTTTAAATCTCATTTTTGCTTTGTGAAAGAGATTTTGATGGTTATTTTTGATGGCTAATTTGATGGCTAATTTTGAAAGCTCTATACTCTTTTCAAGTTGAATGATTTAAATATGATTTCTGGTTTTCAAGCTTGGCTTGAAAGGCTTGAAAGGCTTGAAAGGCTTGAAAGCTGTGATTTTTTGAAGTCAATGGCTTGAAACAAGAGTTAGCTAGCTTAGACTTGTCAATTCCATGTCAATTCCATGGCTTGAAAGGCTTGAAAGCTGTGGTTTTTAAGTCAATGGCTTGAAACAAGAGTTAGCTTAGCTTAGACTTGTTTAGCTTAGTTTATTCCATGAATTACAAGTCTAAGCTAAGCTAAGCAAAGCTAAGCTAAGCCAAGCCAAGCCAAGCTAAGCTAAGCAAAGCTAAGCTAAGCTAACAAATTAACAGCTTTTCTCCAAATGTTTCAAGTCCAGCTGCTAGGTTTTCCAGGTTCTCTAGATCTAGATCATAACCAGTAAGTGATTACAGTACTCTTATTCATCCAGAATTAAATTTAAAGCTTAGTTCCTTTGGTTCTTTGTCTAAAAAGAGGATTTCTGTTTGACCCGATTTCGGGTCTTTTTTTGGGTGGTTGAGTTGGATGTAGAGGAGTGACTATTCTTTTGACTGTTCCTTGGCCTTGACCCTTTTCTTTCATCTACGAGATTCCTTTTGAATCTTTCTCTCTTTCACAAAACGAGCAGTCTTCACTCATCGTCTCTATCGATAAACGTTTTGCTGTTTTGACTATTAGACTTTTCGGAAAAGGTTTTGGTATTAGGCTTTTCAGAAAATCCAATATCAAAGCAATTTCTTAGCTTCTTTTTGGTAGCTCCCAAGCACCATGTTCAAACCTAATTTGTTAAGTGTTATATAAAATATTAAAGCCCTTAATCTTGGCTATATTTATCTGTTTAAAGTTTCCCCGATCGGAGATATAAAACTCATTTTACAAGCCTTCGAAGAGCACTAGTTGATCCCTCTCTAGTTCATGTTCTCTAGTTCTTTTTCTTAGCTTTCTTGTAAACCCACGCTTTCTGGTGCACCGAGTTCTGTGCACCTTTCATCACTTTTCCCTTGGCACCAAGTTCTGTGACTTCTGTGAGAAAAATAAGGAATTGAGTGCACTAGGATGGGTGTGTTTACAAGTTTGAGCACATTTTGCTGTGCCAGAAAGCTTTCGTTTAGGTTTATAGAGACTTTTGGTAGAGCTTTAAAGCTTTAAAGTAAAGTTTGCTTCTATTAGGCTTTCCAAAAAAGCCTTTTCATTTCTTTTCATTTCTTTTTCTATTCTCATTTAAAACCAACAAATGCACCAATTGAAATACGATTTCTTTCATCAAAAAAGATCAATTCCTTTTCTTTAAAATAATATTAGTTAAAATAATAATAATACTTTATTCAAACGATAAAGTGAAAGAAATGATAGAGAAATGCACAGTGATACTTAATCATACAATACATACTGAAATCAATAAGCCAATTACTTACGGCAAAGAGCCACTAGATCTAAAGCATCGATACGTTTCTTGAATATGAAAAGCGACTGAATTTCTCGTATGTCGTTTGGGAGCAAGTTCCATAATCTAGCGGCTCTAACAGGAAATGAATTTGATAAAGAGGCATTGGAAGCAAAGGGAATTTGCAAAAGGAATGAGCCACTTCTGGGCCCTGACCGCGGTTTAAATTTGAAAAAGTCTATAAACAAAGGGCTAATCTGTTTACTACGGAGGATTTTGAAAGTTTATTAATATTAATTAAAATAATATTAATTAAAATAATATTAATTAAAATAATATTAATTAAAATAAGATTAATTAAAATAATATTAATTAAAATAATATTAATTAAAATAATATTAATTAAAATAATATTAAAATAAGATTAAAATAATATTAAAATAATATTAAAATAATATTAAAATAATATTAAAATAAAGATTAAAATAAAGATTAAAATAAAGATTAAAATAAAGATTAAAATAAAGATTAAAATAAAGATTAAAATAAAGATTAAAATAATATTAAAATAAAGATTAAAATAAAGATTAAAATAAAGATTAAAATAAAGATTAAAATAAAGATTAAAATAAAGATTAAAATAAAGATTAAAATAATATTAAAATAAAGATTAAAATAATATTAAAATAAAGATTAAAATAAAGATTAAAATAAAGATTAAAATAAAGATTAAAATAAAGATTAAAATAATATTAAAATATATATAGTATATATGCTTTATTCAGTTGAATAGCGACAAAACAAAATCACAATAATTACCCGGGACACCACTCAAAACACACCGAAAAGATAAATAGATACCTCAAGAAAGAATCACAGAGCAGTCAAATGAATTGCCGAAATTGCGGCTTTAAATCTAGCCAAGATGCGCAAATGTCCAGGTGCGCAAAAAAAAAGGCCGCATTTGTCCCACCCCCTAAATTAAAGATTAAAAGAATCTATTTTGAAAGAGAATTGCTTGGCTTTACCTAGAAAACTTGGGACTCAGCTGTTAGCCAGTTTGCTCAGTTCAGATTGGTATTACTTTGTAAGTCTATTTACCCATGACATTTCAATCATCACTTTAGAGCAAAAATCGTTTTCATAAGACTCAAATATGTGATCTGATAGCTTGGGATATCCAGCGGTTTCCTTTTTCTTGACTCTAGCGATTCTCTAGCGACTCTAGCTATCGTTCTCGTTCTTAAATCGACGTCTTGAAACAGTTCTATTTCTAAAAACATTAGCAAAAAGCATAAGGTGGATTGTTTAGAATGTTTAGAATGCTTAGATTGTTTGGATTGTTCAGATAGATTAAATTGTTTGTTTGTTTAGATTGTTTAGATTCCTTAGAATGATTAGATCGCTTAGAATGTTTAGAATGCTTAGATTGTTTAGATTGTTTTTAATTGTTTAGATTGTTTATGATTGTTTTATCTTTCTAATCTCACAGTGAACTGTTTGAATGAATTCAGTGATGCAACTTCTCTTTGGGTTGTTGGCGTTGAGCGGAGTATCGTTGGCATTCAAGGATGACATCAAGGAAATCTACCAAAACCCACTGTCACACGGTTGGAAAATGAGTTTATGAAATTAAATCTAAAGATATATGATCTAATTGAATAATTGAAGGGTAATTGAAGAGCAACTGAGCAACTGAGCAACTGAGCAATTGAGTAATTGAGCCATTGAGCCATTGACCCATTGTGCCATTGAGCCATTGAGTAATTGAGCAATTGAGCAATTGAGCCACTCAGCCATTCAGCCATTGCGCCATTGAGCAATTGAAGTGCAGTTGAAAGGCGAATAGTTAGCTAGCTTAGAGCAAGGTGGAAATGGCTTACAGCTAGATAAAAGCCTGATCCATTAAAAGTTCAATTAATACACAAACTATTGAATTTATCATTTTAGATCTTTTGTAAATCTGTAATCTAATAAATGTTTCAGGATTCGGCGAGGACATTGCTTGGGTGAAATGGGAAGATGCCATTGAGAAGGTTTGAAGTTAAATCTAAAGATATATGATCTAATTGAATAATTAAAGGTCAATAGAAGAGTGATTGAGCAATTGAGCAATTGAGTAATTGAGCAATTGAGCAATTGAGCAATTGAGCAACTGAGCCATTGAGCAATTGAGCAACTGAGCAATTGAGCAACTGAGCCATTGAGCAATTGAGCAATTGAGTAATTGAGCAATTGAGCAATTGAGCAATTGAGCCATTCAGCCATTCAGCCATTGAGCAATTGAGCCATTCAGCCATTCAGCCATTGAGCAATTGAGCAATTGCAATTGCAATTCAAGGCTTTTCATTCAATAGTTCAAATAATTTGGCTACTTTGTCAACTAGTTACTACAAAACAAGTATTACCAACGATAGCTCTTAATCTATAAACTAATCGATTTACAGGCTCTCGACGAGAACAAGCCGATCTTCTTGCTCATTCACAAGGCTTGGTGTCACGCTTGCAAGGGTGAGTCCAGGAAAATGGCTTCTAAATTCAATTTCTAATTATTATATTATAGTTTATTGTTTTTTAAATTGATAAATTTCAGCTTTAAAGAAGACTTTTCAACAGTCGAATGCGCGAAAAGCTTTCAAGAAACTCTCTGAGTTCTTTATTATGGTCAATACTGAGGATGAGGAGGTTTGTTTGGATGGATTTGGATTTGATTTGGATTTGATTTGGGTTTGATTTCGATTTAAATCATATAGCAATAGATTACAATTAACAAGATTTTTATTGAGTATTAAGCTTTAAGATAGGTTCACGGTGACTTTTGGGTCAAGATTTGTTATCAAAACAAAAGGTGTTAGAGAAATCGATTAGTTAAATGGAAAGATTGTAGCTCACAGTACTTGATCTACAGTACTAGATTAACAGTACTAGATTAACAGTACTTGATTAACAGTACTTGCTTTAGAGTACTTGTTTTACAGTACTTGATTAACAGTACTTGACTAGCAGTACTTGATTAGCAGTACTTAATTAACAGTACTTAATTAACAGTACTTAATTAGCAGTACTTGATTAAAAAAACCAAAGATTATAGTAAATTATAGATTTACAGTACTTGATTACTAGGTAGCTATCCAAAACTTTTGTTTAGGAACCATTCGAGGAGGAGTACCGTCCCGATGGAAAGTACATTCCACGACTCTTGTTCCTCGGTGAGCTGGGGAAACTTTTAGCATTAACAATTGACAATCGAATCCAGAATAATTGATGTTTGATAAGAAGAAATTGCAGACAAGAACGGAGATCTCCTCAGCGAGTTCAAGAACAAGAAAGCCGAGTACAAGAAATACGCCTACTACTACTCATCGCCGGCTGATATTCTCAACTCGATGAAAGACGTTATTCAGCATTTTGGATTCGAGGTGAGCTTTGGATATTTCTTTTGTTCTTTTCAAAAACAAATTGATCTATTGATCTCTTGAAGAATTCTAGATAGATTATGTTCCTCTTACGTTTTTAGGCGTTCGTTTCTAGAAGGTGTGCTCTAGTAAAAGTTACCGTAATCCATTCTAGTAAAGCTACCGTAGTCTGCTCTATTAAAAGGCTACTGTAATCTGCTCTAGTAAAAGCTACAGTAATCTGCTCCAGTAAAAGCTACCGTAATCCATTCTACTAAAAGCTACCGTAATCCGCTCTAGTAAAAGGTCACTGTAATCTGCTCTAGTAAAAGCTACCGTAATCTGCTCCAGTAAAAGTTACCGTAATCCATTCTAGTAAAGCTGCCGTAGTCCGCTCTATTAAAAGCTACAGTAATCTGCTCCAGTAAAAGCTACCGTAATCCATTCTAGTAAAAGGCTACTGTAAACTGCTCTAGCAAAAAGCTACCGTAATCCATTCTACTAAAGGCTACCATAATCTGCTCTAGTAAAAGGCTACTGTAATTCAGCTGTTTCTCATTTTTAGCTTAACTTTTAAGTTTTTAAGTAAGACAAGCTAGTTGCTGTTTCAATAAAAATAAACTTTTACTCAAGAATTTCATAATTTTGAAAAGAAAAAGATAAATACTATAGAAAAAGTTGATCTAATGCTAATTTCTTTTAGAGAAAAGCTTTTCTAAAGAGTAATTGGATATTTCTAAAAGTTTTTTCGAATCAGAGCAGAGAGAAAGCTAGAAGCCAGACGTGGGCTAAGGCTGAGCTAGTCGTTGATCAAACCGTTTAGCTAAATTTACAAAGCCTAGCTAAACTTACAAAACCTAGCTAAACGTGCAAAGCCTAGGTCAATTTACAAAGCGATTCTTGATCAGTAATACTAGTTCTGTAAAATCTCTCTTAGATATCACTTAGATATCTCTTAGATTGTCAAATTCTAGGTTCCTGAGTTGAAACGAGGCGAGAAATTGCAAGCACGAGGAGGAAAGAAGGATTCCAAAGACACAAAGGAAAAAGAAGAGAAAAAGGAAAAGAAAGATGAGAAGAAGAAAGACAAAAAGGATAAAGGAGACAAATCTGAGCTCTAAATGGCTCCAAATAGCTCTAAATGGCTCTAAATTCTAAATTAGACCTTAATTTTGATGTTTTCTTTGATGAAATTTGATGAAATCTTGTTTTCCCTTTCACTTTTGGCTTTCTCTCGATGCGTATGGGTGTTTAGTTAAATTTTTAATTGAAATTTCTTTTTTTGAAGTATTTAAAAATAAAAACACATTCTTTCTGATGCAGTGAATCATTATTTCTACAAGAGAATTCTGGGAAAAGAATCGCGAATTGAGAGTAAAAATTTAGAGCAAGTAAACATTGAGTTCACTTTCACCGGAAACAGATTCACTCACGTTTTAAAACGCTCAATTCAATCTTATAGCTATGCTCATTAAAAAGCTTTTAGCTGTTAATTTAATCCTAATCGTCTCCAGAGCAACGCAACCGATTTGGGAGTATTTAGGAGGTGAGAAATTCTTCATAGACTAGTATAATTCGGCTCTTTACGCCTTCAGGCTTCTAAGAGGGCCTCTAAGGCCTCTAAGGCTTCTAAGCGGGCTTCTAAGGCCGCTAAGAGGGCCTCTAAGGCTTCTAAGGCTTTTAAGAGGGCCTCTAAAGAGTCTAAGGCTTCTAAGAGGGCCCCCGCTAACTTTCCGCTTCCTCCAAAAGCTCTCACAGTAAGTTTTTTTTGATCTGTCTTCGCACTTAGGGGTTCCTATTTGCGCGGATCACAACCTGCTTCCACATTTCTCTATCCCTTGCTATTGTCATCCAGTGTTTCGAGATTGGATCGCCTCTCGGCCTTTGCTTGATCCCTCGATGCCGGAGGAGAGCAGGGAGGCCGTGCGGGGTACTGAGGCAGAAGTGTAGTTGTCGTAGCCGATGATACTCCGATGGCCGGGCTGGGGCACTCGGAGGGGAACCCATCTTTTAGGTGTGTTCTGAGTGGTGTTCTGGGTGATTCTTGTGATCTTTTTTTGTCGCTATTCAACTGAATAAAGCATATATACTATATGTGTCGTAGCCGATGATGAATTTCAACCAGATGATGAATTCGTGGATCTAGGCGCGTCGAATCATCAAGTCTTTAGTATCATTCAACCAAGAATCATTGATAATTATGTTAAATTTTTGAAACTAGAAAGATTCGATAAAAAGAAAGAATCTTACGGGGCTTTAAAGTTTTCTTTTTGCTTTAATTTTTTTTTCTTTTTATCAAATCTTACTAATTTAAAACATTTCACATAATTATCAATGATTCTTGGTTGAATGATACTAAAGACTTGATGATTCGACGTCCCTAGATCCACTAATTCATTATCTGGTTGAAATTCATGAGCGGCTGAAACTCCTAGTCGACTGAAATTCATAATCGGCTACGGGGATCCCGCTACGGGAATGAAACGTTGTAGTGCCCGCAATTTTTAACCTAAACTCACAAATTTGATACCAATCGATGCAGGATTTAATTCGCTACAAAATGCTATAAGATTGTCCTAATACATTAAAGGTTTGCCTTAAAGAGATCTATCGAATGTGGCATTACTCATCCCAAATGGTCCCAAATGGGCCTTAACTCTCAAATGGGCCTTAACTCCCAAATGGGCCTTAACTCCCAAATGGGCCTTAACTCCCAAATGGGCCTTAACTCCCAAATGGGCCTTAACATCGATCGAATGTGGCATTACTCATCCCAAATGGTCGCCTTAACGTTGAATCATTAAATGTTAAATTTGAGACCGCACTTTTTGCAGTGCTAGCAGTTATTAACTCGCCCGCGTCGATGGTGCTCAACGGAGCTGTGTGGCTGAGTGGTTAGTGCGGCGGTCTCTAAACCTATCGGCAGGGTGAACGGCTCGGGTTCGACTCCCGGGAGTGTTCTTTCGCTTTTTTCAAAACTTTTTTTTGGAAACACCCCTGGATCGAAGGCCTTGGGTAAACCAAAGTTGAGTCTCTGATAAGACGGTTTTATCAGCTTGTCCTGCAATAAATTATTATAAAACTAGGATACTTAAGTTAACTAAGCTTAAGTTCTCTAAGCTCAAGTCCTCTAAGCTCAAGTCCTCTAAGCTCAAGTTATCTACGCTCAAGTCCTCTAAGCTCAAGTCCTCTAAGCTCAAGTCATCTACGCTCAAGTCCTCTAAGCTCAAGTTATCTACGCTCAAGTCCTCTAAACTCAATTTATTCTTTAGATCTTTGTCCAGATGGACTAGTGCCTTTAACAAACGAGAGAAACGTGAGAACATGTCAAACGCAATGCCCTAGAGAGGCTCGTTGTGTGCAAGGGATTTGCTGTGCTTTACCACCAAATTGCAACGATTTTACGCACAAGTCGAAGAAATTCGTTGGTTTTAAAGATGACAAAAAAGCTTTCAGATTCGAGACAAATCTCGTCTGTTTGCCGAAATTCAAACAAAATTGCCCAAAAAACGCGAAATGCGTGGAAAGTAGTCGACCAGCGCAATCGGTAAGCTTCTTTAGCTGAATTTTGTTCAAAACTGAAGAGAAATTCTTTAAATTCACTTTCCAGACAATTCCAGACAATTCCATACAATTCTAAACAATTTTCTAGATTTGTTGCTCAGCAATACCACCGGAACTCACCAGAATCATCGGGCATAGACCATTAGAAACTGTTTGTCCAGGTAAACTGATACTTTGTGCTGTAAAATCTAAACAAATCCTTTCTACTGTACTCTTTTCTTCAATCAAGTGCGCTAGAGAGGCTGTTTTTATACAAAAAGTACTGGAGATCATTAGCATTTCAGCTGATCATCCGGTGCTCGGCTTTGAGCGTCGTGGACTTCAAGTGTGCAAGAATTGCGAGCGAGGGTTAGTTGGATTTTTTTATAAATTAAATTCTTTAAATGGATGAATATGGTTAAACAATAGATAAGCAAAGAAGTTCTAAATGATTTAAATGAAAGAGAAGAAAGAAAGGAGAAAGAAGAAAGGAGAAAGGAGAAGGAAGAAAGGAGAAAGAAGAAAGGAGAAAGAAGAAAGAAGAAGAAAGAAAAAATAGAAAAAGAAGCAACCTAGCCAGGGATCGAACCCTCGACCTCCCCGACTAGGTCCCGACTAAGAAACAAAGTTATTAACCACTTAGCCATGACGACATAAAAACAAACGAGATTTTCTAGACTATGCGTCCCATTTCGAAACTCGGAGGTGATGATTTGTTGTCACTCGCACGAGTCTCTTTGCGGCGTTGAGTCTGAAGTGGAAATGCTTGGAAGTTTGGCAAAAGATTGTGCTACAGAGCGATGCGCATCCGGGTTTACTAAAGTTTTAATAGCTTTTAATAGCTTCTAATAGCTTCTAATAGCTTTTAATAGCTTTTCCTTCCTACATTCCTTCTCTTTTTCTAGTTATGACTGTAAATTGGTTGACGGTTTGGCTATTTGCTGTGCTTATCCAAGATGTCCGAGTGGAGAGATGGCTTCAAGGGTCTCAATTAATTCTAAACTCTTCTATAGCTATGCTAATGTAAACTTTTTGATAAGGAGAATAGCTGGAAATCAGCTAGAAGTCAATTGGAAGCTTTTCTGACCTTCTCTAATCAATTTGAATCAAATTGATCTTAAAAAAGTCTAAAGAAAGTCTAAAGAAAGTCTTAAGTCTTAACTCTATCAATATTTCTATAGATTTGCGGTGCTGGTTGTGCTCGTTTCGAGAAATGCGAGAGTTTAGCTGGTGGTCGATGGTGTTGTCCAAGAGGGGAGGAAGAGGTCGAGATGTGTCCCGGGGAAATACCAACGTAAGAAGCCTATTGATAAAACCTATTGACAAACCTATTGACAAGCCTATTGACAAACCTATTGACAAACCTATTGACCAACCTATTGACAAACCTAATGACAAACCTAATCACAAATCTATTGACAAATCTATTGATGAGCCTTTCAACGAATCTCTTAACGTGTTCAATTCTTTTAGCTCTGGAATTTGTTCTTTAAATCATCCGGATTGCGGTAGTGGGAATGTTTGTGTTGCTACAGAGTCAGGTCTGGGTTTTATCTGTTGTCCGGATCCAGGGATCGTCTCGCTCACTCGTTTGTTGAAAGGAATGACTCGTAGGTTTTGTTTAGAGTGGATTTACAGTATACCTGCAATTTACAGTATTCTACAAAGGCTAGAACTACTGTATGACTGGAGAGTGGCTACAGTATGCTACAAGAGTGGCTACAGTAAGCTATAAAGTAGCTACAGTATTCTACAAAGACTAGAACTACTGTATGACTTGAGAGTGACTACAGTAAGCTATAAAGTGGCTACAGTAAGCTATAAAGACAACACAGTAAAGTAAAGTAGCTACAGTATTCTACAAAAGCCAGAGCTACAGCAGGCTACAAAAGACAAGCTACAGAACCTGAGAGTATCCAATTGTAGTGCTTTCAGTATGCTTTTGTACTTGCTAAGCTATAGCTATAGAGAGCACAAGACGAGATTACTATAGAACATATTTTCAGCTCTACCATCACCGCCAACAACGACAAAAGCTCCGACAATTCGAACATTCCCTCCATTCACTCCACCAAACACAAAGGAACCAATTTCGATGACTTTCCCACTAAACATTCAACAATCAACAAAAGTCAAAAACAACTCAAACAAGCCGACAAAAAACCCGAGAAAAAAGCTGATCACAACAACGGAAATGTAAGATTTCTAGAAGTAAATGCTCAGGATCAGCGAAAAGAAGTTAGATTGTAAGCTAGATACTGTAAAACAAGAAGCTGATCTGATCTAGGCTGGTCAATAGATGACTATTAGATCTAGAATCAATCCTGCTCAGGTCAAGCAGATCAATCTATCATTAGTAGAGTGTGTTCTTTCCGAGTAAGTAAATTAAATTAATTTTGACTCGATTAATCGACGTTTTTCGTCGAGTAACTACGAGTAATCCTCTTTACAGGCGAGTAAATTGAATATCTTTATCATTAAAGGGAATTTGCCACCAAATCAGTTAAACAGCTGAATATCTAGAAGATAAATCGTATATAAACAGCTGAATATCTCGAACGGAACAGTTAAACAGCTGAATATCTTGAATAGAACAGTTAAACAGCTGCATATGTTGAACAGAACGGTTAAACAACTGAATATCTTGAACAGAACAGTTAAACAGCTGTATATCTTGAACAGAGCAGTTAAACAACTGAATATCTTGAATAGAACAGTTAAACAGATGAATATCTTGAACGGAACAGTTAAACAGATGAATATCTTGAAAAGGAAGCGTATATAAGCCGGCGCTCGTCCAATTTTTTGCAATAATTTTCGCTAAAAGTACGATAGTTTTTCCCAAATGTTCGTTTGAAAAAAACGCCAAGAAACACACTCTAATCTAACGATCAATCTAACGATCAATCTAGTGATCAATCTAATGATCAATCTAATGATCAATCTAACTATCAATCTAACGACTTGCTTATCCAGGTTTATCCTTGTCGATCGATCGATTTCTAATACAACTCTTTAGTTCAACGATTCCTATCGTTTGCCCTCAGGGTGGCCCACCAATGGGAATTCAAGATGCCTTTTTGATGTGTCCAGAAATTGGAGCACCATGTCCACGAGCTGGCTACACTTGTCAAGAGACGAACATCGGGGATTATTACTGTTGTCCGATGGGAGTTGATGAGTGGGAACTTGAAGAAGTAAGAGATTTGAAAAAGCAATTGTTAGAAAGATGAGTTCAGCTTTCACCGAAGGTACCAAAGCCGATTTCAACCACAACTGCAGCTCCATGGTTGGCTTTGTTGACCTTGTTGCCAAAGAGTACCACAACGACGACAACGACACCGAGCTTTTGGCTAACAACAACTTCTCGGTAAGGACAATTTCTCGACAATTTCTCGACAATTTCTCGACAATTTCTCAGCCCAATTCATCCTTGATTACTTTCAAATTCGGTTTTAAAACTTATCGAGAAATTGGAGATCTTGAGTCAATGGAATCTGATCGATTGAATCTGAGAATCTGATCGATTCCGGATTCAATCGATCAGGCATGTCCGGATCCGGATCCGGATCTCTACGCAAGCATACAAAGAACAAAAAGATGACTACGCGATGTCTATTGAAGTGTCACGTAGTCGCCTTTTCGTTCTTTGTGCATTTGTGTAGAGATCTGTTTCCAGAAATCCCTGATTCCAATCGAGAAACTCTCCAGAGCTATTCCAGAGTCAGATTTTAGGCCTGGAAACCAGTTTGGCTAGGCAGAAAGTCCAGGCTGGCTGGCAGAAAGTCCAGGTTAGACTTGCTGCATGGCTAGGACTGGAGTTGGCTTACAAAAATGCTGGTTTAGATGACGTTGTTGTTGTTTAGCCCAATCCCATCGACTCTTTTCCCTCGTGTTCCCGCGAAATGTCCTTTCGGTCATCACTCAATCATTGAGCTGAATGGAGAGTTGAGGAGTTGTGCGGGATGGTTCGATTTCACGTGGGTTTAGCTTTAAGCAGAGCTTTAAGCAGAGCTTTAGCAGAGCTTTAGCAGAGCTTTAGCAGAGCTTTAAGCAGAGCTTTGGCAGAGCTTTAGCAGAGCTTTGCGGAGCTTTAAGCAGAGCTTTGACAGAGCTTTAGCGGAGCTTTAGCAGAGCTTAAAGACAATTTCTAGCTTTATAGCCTCAAGCTAACATCAAATCTCCATGATTTCTTTTAGAGCAAAGTTCATTTTCTGAAAAAGAAAGCTTTTAGTCAAGCAATAGAGATTTACTTTTTACGTAAAGTGTAACCCGCAAACGCACCCTTTTCTGGCGTATCTCTTTCTCGTGTTTCTCGTGTTTCGAGTACGCCAAAAAGTTTGTGTTTCGATTTTAGCACAAAGTACAGTTGAGTCTTTCGCAATGTTTCTTCTTTCAGTTGCCCATTGACCTACAGTTGTATGGCCTCTTCAACGACTTTGTCCTACATTTGCTGTAAATTGAATCACACAATGCACGACGAGTTATCACGTTTTTAAATGCGATTTTTTTTGGAATCCAATTCCGTTAATAAAGCACAATTCTGGGATTTAAAATGAGTTCAAAAAGAAAGAATTTTCGTTTGTTTGACGTTTGACTATTAGATTTAGAACTAGATCAATATTGGATCTAGATCTAGATCAATATTAGCTCTAGATCTAGACCTAGATCAATATTAGCTCTAGATCTAGATCTAGAATCAATATTAGATCTAGAATCAATATTAAATCTAGATCTAGATCTAGAATCAATCATGGTCTCTCAAGCAGATCAATCAATCGAGCAGAAGCACTTCGAAATCGTTTCTCTAAAACAGATATAATCATCTCAGAGATCTCAGAGATCTCACAGAAAACTTGTTTAAAAAATCGCTCACTTAACCTGTTTTTCTGATATCATTTGATCGGTGAAGACAAAAAGAAAAAGAGAAAAAAAGAAATGTTTTTGCCTTGAGGCGAAAAGATAACGATCCGGAGAGGCTAACGATTGGAGTGACCGTTCAAGGAAAGAAATTCCAAATAATCCTATCACTTCTTTAGCTTCTTCATCTTCCTAATCCTTATCATCGTTCAGCTTTTGAAGTTTTAAACTTTTAAACTTTTAAACTTCATCAATTTTTTGATTAACTTATTTTCTAGACTTTGTAAGTCACAATTTGAAGCTAGAAATTGGTACTTGGTACTTCTGACTACTTGGTACTTCTGTACTTGGTACTTCTGACTTTATAATGTTGTCAGTTCTATTGGCAAGCCTTTCTTCTCTCTTTTCTTCTCTCTTTTCTCCCTCTTTCCCCAATCCGATCAATGATCTGAGTTGTAAACAAGTGCTTGTTGCCATTTGGACTAAATGTACATCATTTGATTTCAGTGTTTTTTTTATTGCCAACAATTTCTAGAAATTTAACAACTTAAGGTTTAACAATCTCTGCCATATCTCTGTTTTAAGTTAATCTATTTGTATCGAAAGCTGAATTTTTTAATTAGTATTGAAATGAGGTGAATTCTTGATCTCATCGTGAGATATTCTAACATTTTTATATCTTTATATTTACTTGGATTTGTTTAGACAAAGAAAAAATCCAAAAAACCAAGAATACGGAGGCCGGGATTGAACCCTCGACATACCGATCTAGAGACAAGGCTCTTAGCCACTCGGCCATCGAGGCTGTTTGAAGGGTCTGCCTGAAAGCTGAGTAAATCCCCGTAAAGGCTTATTTCTGGTTTCTCTTTTATATTTTTTCTTTATTCTTTCTTCAATATTCTTCATTTCCATTTTAGACTTCGTTTTCTTTAGCTTTTTAATTCTAAATTTAATTTTGAAAGAAAAGTTGATTATCAGCGTTATCCACTGATCTCTTTTTCAACTTATCATTTCATTTGCCCCTTTGCAGCTCTTGATGTATCGTCTCCCATCCCGTCTCCCCCTCCACCGCCCATCATTCAACAATCTTTTCTCTTTTCACCGCAACGCAACCGCTTCGCCTCTTCGCTCCTCTTCGCCTCTTGTTGACAGTCAACAACAAACCAAAAACGATTCGGTCATTCATGAATTTTGTTTATCAAACGACTAGATTTGGATAGGCTCAATTGATTTTTCAAATTTTTTTTAAAATTCAATGACTTTTTAAGCTAATGTAATAGATTTTTGTAAAAAAAAGCTGTAAAATATGATTAGCTGTACAATATGAACTTCTAGATGCCACCAGTACCGGAGAATTTACTGAAACCGATGGAGATCCCAGCAAGGGAACTTTTCGGTCCAGGTCCTTCGAATATGACACTTCCAATTCAAGATTCGGCTTCGAGAAGTCTCTTGGGACACTTGCATCCAGAGTTTATTAAGGTCGGTTCGATAAAACATAGTTCGACCTGCAAAGACATATTCTGAGTAAAAATTGCGGTAGATTGGAACAGTATGAGCAAAAAAAGGGCGGATGGATAGCTAAGGAACCAAATCATCGAGCAAAACAACGCAAAAGAAAACAAAACAAAAGAAAACCAAAGAAAACAAACCAAAGTAAAACCAAAGCAAAACCAAAACAAACGAAACCCAAACCAAAGCAAACAAAATCCAAAACAAACGAAACCCAAACGAAACCAAAACCAAACCAAAAGCAAAACCAAAAGCAAAACCAAACCAAATCAAAACCAAAACAAACCAAACCAAAACCAAAACCAAAACCAAACCAAAAGCAAAACCAAAAGCAAAACAAACGAAACCAAAATAAAAGAAACCCAAACCAAAGCAAAAACAAACCCAAACAAACGAAACCAAAACCCAAACGCCTCAAACCCCTCAAAACCCAGGGTTCGTCATGGTCTAAAACAAAAATATCTAAAAATATCTAAAACAAATAATAGAATTTGACATGATATCCAAAACCGGTGTCCCAGTGCCCACCATAAGATTTTCAGCTATAACTTTAAACTATCCAATTATCCAAATCTTTCTTTCTTTTAGATTATGTCCGACGCTCGTGAAGGTCTTCAATATGTGTTCAAGACTCAAAGCGCGTATACATTTGCTGTTTCAGGAACAGGTATTAACGATTTCCTTGTTTTCCGTTTTCTAAAAGATGTCTAATTCAAAAAGATACCGTAAGCTTTGAGAAAACGAGCAAAATCTATAAGAGGATCTATAAGAGGATCTATTAGCTTGGTAAATATGAAAGGTTATTTTTTTGATCATTTTTAACATAACAGAGAAATTTATTTAAGCACTTTCAAAATCAAATGTATTCACCACAAGCATTAATGACTTCTTTCCAACGTTGCCCCAAATCACGAATACCGTCCCCGTAAAATTAAAGATTTTTAGAGGCAAAATAGTTGACAACCCAATTTTCGATTTCCTGCTTTTGTTTGAACTGCTGTCCAGAAACTGCTTGTTTCATTGACCGAAAGAGATGGTAATCCGATGGGGCTAGATTAGGGCTGTATGGTGGGTGTGAAAGAAGTTTCCAGCTCAACTTGTCGATTTGTTCGTGGACGATCTTTGAAATGTGAGGCCTAGCATTGTCGTGAAGAAATCTGACCTTCGATGGATCGATCCTCTTTTTCCTCAATGCTGGATCGACTCGACCCATTTGTTCTGCATAAAGTCTTCCGTCAACAGTGTCTCCTTTATCTAATATTTCCAAATGAGCCAATCCCTTAGCAATCCACCACACACAAAGCATAACTTTTTCGGAGGCTTCGGGATAAAATGAGAGGTCTGCTTCGAACTCAGCCACTGTCCATAGAGTTGAATATTTTCATACGAAAGCCAAGTCTCATCAGATGTCAAAAAATACTTCCAAAAGACACGATGGCTAGCTTTACGTAGAAGAACAGAGCTCAAGGTGACTCGTGTGACTTTGTGGGCATCAGTGAGGTCGTGGGGGAGCCATTTCCCGCTTCGATATGATTTCCCAAGAACGTGTAAATGGTAACATGAGTGCATCCGAACTTTTCTGCTAATTTTCTACACTTTTGCGATGGATCCAAGTCGACCTCGTTCAGTAACAGCTGATCGTCCAAAGTAATCGGCGGCTTTCCATGTGGTGCATCCTCCAATGACTCATTTCCCGTTTTGAAGCGATCGTACCAAACACAACATTGTTTGTAAGTAAGAGCAGCTTCTCCAAAAACAGTACAAATGTTCTGATGGCATTCCGTAGCTTTCTTGTTTAACTTGAATTCAAAGAAAATGGCGGCCCTAATTTTAAATTTTTGGTTATCCATCTTTGCCGAGCTGAAACAATACAAATATTGTTCAAAACAAAAATGTTTTTGCAAAAAAACATGAGCACATTTTGAGATATTATTGAGAAAAATCCTAGACAGCGAATGTTCTTCGTAACGACAGGGCAATATTTTTTGTAAAAAATAACCTTTCATATTTACCAAGCTAATAGAAGAGGATCTATAAGAGGATCTATCAGAGAATCTATAAGAGAATCTATAAGAGGATCTATAAGAGGATCTATAAGAGAATCTATAAGAGGATCTATAAAAAAATCTATAAAAGAATCTATAAGAGAATCTGTAAGAGAATCTATAAAAGAATTCTCTCCAGGTCATGCCAGTATGGAAGCGGCTGATCTACAGAAAAGCTTCAACAAGACTGTTAGCTTTCTAGGGCTGTCCTGAGCACTAAGCAGCTATTGATTCGTAGATTTTAAGGGTAAATCTTAATCTAACCAATATCTAATTGAATTTAAAGTTATTTCGAGGTCATGCTGGTATGGAAGCGGCTGTTTTAAACCTTTTGGAAAGAGGTGAGAAAATTCTGGCGTTAAAAACCGGAATCTGGGGACAACGGTGTGCGAATTTGGCAAAACGGCTTGATTTGCAGGTAGATTTTATTGAAAAATATCTAAAATATCTAAAAACCAATAGCTTTACATAAAAATTTACTCTAATATTTATTAAACTTTCAAATTTAAGGTCCAAACGGTCGAGGCTGTTGAGGGAAACGCCGTTCCATTTGATGAGGTTAAAAAGGTGAAAAGTTTGTTTGTTATTGGTTGTTGTTTGTTGTTTTTTGTTGTTTGTTGTTGTTGTTTGTAGTTGTTTGTAGTTGTTTGTTGTTGTTGGTTGTTATTGGTTGTTGTTGTTGGTTGCTATTGGTTGTTGTTGTTTGTTATTGCTTGTTGTTGTTTGTTGTTGTTTGTTTTTGTTTGTTGGTTGTTGTGGTTTGTTGTTGTTTGTTGTTGTTTGTTGTTGTTGGTTGTTGTTTGTAGTTGTTTGTAGTTGTTTGTAGTTGTTTGTAGTTGTTTGTAGTTGTTTGTAGTTGTTGTTTGTAGTTGTTGTCCTTGTGGTGTTGAAAAGTTTGTTGGAAATGAATAGAATATTTCTAGTCTCCATTTATTGAAGTCTTTTTATCTAATAACAAGTTTCAATAAGAGTTTTATCGAATTTACTTTAGGCAATTGAATCCTTCAAGCCACAAGTGCTCTTCGTGTGTCAGGGTGAGAGCTCGACAGGTGTTTGTCAACCAATCGATGGACTTGGAGAGTTGTGTCATCAAAATGTAAGTCATCTTCATCAAAATCTGACACAATGGGGGACGAACCCGGGTCCTGCGCGCTGTATAAAAGCCCGCTTACCACTGCGCCAAGTGGACTACACTTCGCTCTCCGAACATCCAGGCTTTAAGGTCGAGACAGACGTTTCAGCTGTTTAGAAACTGCTAATGATTCAAAGTCGTTCTCTGATTTTCCCTTTTGATGTGTACTTTGTTCCCCAAAAACGGAAACGCTTCCTTTCTGGTGCACTGAGTGCTTGTCTTTAGCAGGTTTAAAATCACTACAGAACTTCGGGGATTTTCCATGGATCAACGATTGATCGTCCATGATCAACTCTAGGCCAGGCCAAGCCAGGCCTAGGTTACAGTAAACAGGCAACGAGCCAAGTTGTTCAGGCCTGGTATCCCAGGAACTTTTGGGCAAGCTTACAGTGAGTCAAGCCTACAGTAAGCCGGGTCTACATTAAATCAGGTCTACAGTAAGCCAGGTCTACAGTAAGCCAGACCTGGCCCTGGTAGAGCCCCAGGATTCACATTTCTTCTTGTTAGTAGCTCTAATAATCTAATCTTATAGCTTAAAGTCCAATTGAAATGCTTTAAGAACTGTCTTCTCCTGGTGGATACTGTAGCTTCTCTAGGCGGGACTGAGTTCGACATGGACGCTTGGGGAGTCGATTGTGTCTATTCAGCCACACAAAAGGTTTATCTTATTGCATTAAAAACTAATAAAGATATAAATAAAAATATAATAAACCAATAAATTTAAATTTAAATGCAAGTTGCTTAATTATATGACTGAAAAATTTGAGGTGTTGAATGCTCCGCCCGGCTTGGCGCCGATCTCATTCTCGCAGAGGGCAATGTAGGTATTCTATTGATATTTAGCTACATAGGTCTATAGATATTTGGCTATATAATTGATAATGGCATTTAGGGACAAGATTAAAACTCGAAAAACGCCGGTTGCTTCGTGGTACTTCGACGCGCTGGAGTTGGGTAACTATTGGGGAGCTGACGAAGGGCCGAAAAGGTTTGAAAACTTGAAGAATAATCCAGCTTATAGTTCGTAAAGATGTTCAGACATTAAAACTATACTGTAGCTTGTATAAATGCTAATTTTGCAGTACTTTACAGTACTCTACAGTACTTTACAGTACTCTACAGTATTTTACAATACTCTACAGTACTTTACAGTACTTTACAACACTTTACAGTACTTTACAATACTTTACAGTACTCTACAGTACTCTACAGTCTTGAAACGTACTGTAAAGGAACTTGGAGCTTTGCTTTGCTTTGCTCTTTGAAGCCTTAGCCAAGACTGTGCTTTTCTAAAGTAATATCAGGAATTTCTAATAAAATTTCTGGAGATACTGTAAGGGTATTGAAGCGTACAGTAGACTTACAGTACCTTTAAGTATCTCAATTCAATTCAGATATCATCACACTGCTCCAATCTCGACCGTTTACACTCTGCGCACAGCGTTGGCTGAGATTGCAAAGGTAAAACTTTAAGATAATAGTATATATATATATTTATTTATATCTAAATTTAGATTTTATTTAATTTAGACTTTATAATCGAACTTTATAATATCAAAAATGCTGTAATTCAGGAAGGAATCGATGCTGTAATTGCTCGTCACCGCAAAAATTCGGAGATTGTTTATGGTGAATTGGAGGCGATCAATTTAAAGCCATTTGTAGAGAAAAAGGTATTTATAAATTCAATTTTCTAATTATCAACTTCGATAATTGTTTAGGAATGGAGATTACCGTGTTTGACGACAATTTCCGTGCCTGATGGAGTCGATGCGGCTGAGGTGCAGAAAGAGATGATGGCACAAGGGATTGAGGTAAGGGAAATGGGCAAATTGTTACTGTAGCCTGGTAGAATACGGTAGAATACTATTTGTATAGTAGTATTATAGCAATCTTGTATCAGCCAGTTGCTCCAATCTAGTAAAGAAATGAATTTGGGAAAGAAGTTGGAAATGGGGAATTGAACAAAGGGGAATTCTGCTTCCCTTCTGCTTCCCTTCTACTTCCCTTTGCTTTCCCTTCTACTTCCCTTCTACTTCCCTTCTACTTCCCTTCTACTTCCCTTCTACTTCCCTTCTACTTCCCTTCTGCTTTCCTTCTGCTTCCCCTTTGCTTCCCTTTTGCTTTACCATTGAGATATCGCGCCTTTTGTTCAAGAATGAAAACACATCCTTTCTAGCGTAACTTCATATCATTTTGGGATATTTAAGTGTGATAGAAAGGGTGTGTGAGAGACTTAGTGCAACAGTTTGGTTACGGCATACTTTGTGCGTCTGGATAAACGCTCGCTTTCCAGCAAATCGATTTTCTTTCAGATAGCTGGCGGACTGGGGCCAACAGCTGGACGAATCTGGCGAATCGGTACATTTGGAGCGAATTCAAACGAGGAAAAGATTCGCCATGTGATCAAGAAACTTGGCGAGATTGTTCAGACGAAGAGGAGTCGTTTGTAAGGAAAAAAAAGCTACGGTTTTTTCTTTTGATATCAAAATCTCGATCGAAATTCACTTTGAACTTAATTTATTGCGATTTATAAATGCTTTTAATGCTGATCATTTTAAAAATCTTTATTTCTTATTAAATGAAGAAGAGATCAAAGAAAATGTCCTTAAAATCGTTAAAATGGAGTGTCAGAGGGGAAATTTACATATGAATTACATTTAAAATCCACATGAAAACTCAAAAAATTTGAGCAAATCGAGGAAAAGAATTGAAAAATTTCAAAAAAAGGCAAAAAAAGGCAAAAAATATTAGATTTGTTGAAGAGAATGGCAAAATATGACTAGAGAAAAAGCGTCAATGGAAAACAGACCCGTTTCTTGTTGAATTATCGAATGCAAGAAATGGAAATCAAGAATAATGCTGTACTTTGTGCTTTCGCTTGGAAACGCACCCTTTTTGGCACACAATAACCCTCAAAAATTACCCTCGATTACCCACAAAAAGCTTTTAAAGTGATAAGATTAAAGGGAAAACTTGAAGGGAAATCAAAGGGAAAACTGCAAATCGCGGTACGCCAGAGGGGATGCGTTTCTCAGAAAGAAGAGCACAAAGAACTTGTCAAGCTGTGCGAGAAAGTGCACGTTTGTCGGTGTACTCACAATTAGAGGCTTTACAAACAATTAAATGAGCTGAAGATCAACATTTGGAATGTTTAAGTGATTGGAAAAACAGAAGGATTCAATATTTGGAATGTATAATTTCTGGAATATAGTACTCTTTATAGTACTCTTTACAGTACATTGTATAGTAGATTTTACAGTACTCCTTGCAGTACTCTTTAAAGTACTCTTTAAAGTACATTTTACAGTACATTTTACAGTACATTTTACAGTACATTTTACAGTACATTTTACAGTACTCTTTAAAGTACGCTTTAAAGTACTCTTTACAGTACTCTTTAAACAACTTCAATTTGTGGTAAAGCGTTTGTTTGTGAGCGTGTTGAGCGTGTCGAATTGAGCGAACTGGGCGATGATGGAGGAGAAATTTGAGGAGATTTCGGAGAGACAGACAACGTGCCGATTCTTGGACACATTTGCGAGATCTCAAGGCTCTGGAATTGAATGCTTTCATAAGTTTCATAAGTTTTCGAAAAGAGAATCCATTTCTCCTCGGCAAGGGCAAAAAAAAATTAACTAATAATCCAGTCAGCGGGATTGAACCCTTGATCTCCCGACCCAAATACTGGGCTCTTAGCCAGTCGGCCATGGCGGTAAATTGGGAGGGAAAAAACAAAGCTTACTAGTCATCGCCTAGCCGTGCGGGGCCAAAAAGATGAACTAGTATGGAACTAGCTGGGCTTTTTGAAGTATCGAGAAGGAGGTCTGCGTAGCCGACTGGCTAAGGGTCTTGTCTCTTAGTCGGGAGGTCAGGGGTTCAATCCCGCTAGCTAGATTATTGCTTTTTTTCCATAACTTTTCGTTCCTCTATACATTTAGGGCTTAAGGGCGTGCTTTTTTAATCTTTGTAACACATTATTCGTGCGTATATTTGAAGTAAATTTATCCATCTTTCAATTACCTCAATATCCAGTACGACCGGCTTTTGGCTGTTATTTGTGTTCGCGTTCACAGAATGAGTTTTGCTGAATGGTTGTTGATGCAATCTTGTAAGAGCTTCTTGATATGTTGGCGGTGATGCATCGGAAGCGATCACCGTCTCATACGATGGTGGAGGCTTGGCTCGATCTCTGAAAATGAAAGAGTTGAAGTCTCGATCTCTGAAAATAGTTGAAGCAATGAAGTAAAATGGGGTTTAGCTTTTGCTTAGCTTTTGTTAAGGTTTTGTTTAGCTCTTGTTAAGCTCTTGTTTAGCTTTTCTTTAGCTTTGTTTTAGCTCTTGTTTAGCTTTTCTTTAGCTTTGTTTTAGCTCTTGTTTAGCTTTGGTTTAGCTTTTCTTTAGCTTTTGTTAAGCTTTTGTTTTAGCTTTTGTTTAGCTTTTGTTTTGCCCTTGTTAAGCTTTTCTTTAGCTTTGTTTTAGCTCTTGTTTAGCTTTTCTTTAGCTTTTGTTTAGCTTTGTTTTAGCTTTTGTTTTAGCTTTGTTTTAGCTTTTGTTTAGCTTTTGTTAAGCCTTTGTTTAGCTTTGTTTTAGCTTTTGTTTAGCTTTGTTTAGCTTTGTTTTAGCTCTTGTTTAGCTTTTCTTTAGCTTTTGTTAAGCCTTTGTTTAGTCTTACTTAGCTCTTGTTTAGCCTCTGTTCATTTCCAAACTCCTCACCTCCTGCTCAACTCTTTCAAAATGCCAAAGGAGGCGCTGAACATCGCGTGTACTTCGAAAACAAATAGGATCACTAAAATGAAATAATATTTGCAAATAAATATGTAAATTAGCGTAAAACAAGTCGCAAAGAACAGAACCAGAAATCAATTTCTACCTGAAATCAAGATCCAAACAATTTGCGGGATAGGGATCGGATTTGAAGACTCGACAAGTTGAAGACCGTAGAAGAGAGCTGCTGAGGAGACGGTTACCTAGAATTCAGCTTTAAAGTTCAATTTTTGGCCTTTTTCATCTAAATTGAAGTATTCTATAGAAGTTTTGAAATATAATCGCATAAGAAAAAGAAAGAAAGGAAAGGAAACATCGAACTTCTACAGGATAAGCTTGATTCCCGACTTTTCATTGATTAAGGATTAAAATAAACTCCAACAATCGATTGCTTGACTTCCAAATGAGAGCCTGAGCCTGAGCCTGACCCTGAAAACCCCTGGGTACAAGTTTTCAGCACTAGATCTCATTTGGAAGTCATTTACAAAAAAAGAGAAAAAATTCAGAGTAAACTGGGAGGTGTTCTTTGTGCGCGTGCACAATCGCTCGCTTTCTGGCACCGGCGCCAGATAGATGGCTAATTGTTTTGGGATCGGGGAGGGGAAACGAGCGATAAGAGATAGCCAATTTCGCCGTCAGTATGCCCAAATTTTTGGCATCAATTTAGAATTGAGCTTTTAAGTTCAATTTTTCGCCTTTTTCAAACTAAATTGAAGTATTCTATAGAAGTTTTTGAAATATAATCGCATAAGAAAAAGAAAGAAAGGAAAGGAAGCGAAAAGGAAGCGCTCTCTGCTAAAGCTCTTCAATTCAAGTATTAATCGTATGCTAGAAGGCATGCGTTTCCGCCAAAAGGACAAGAATGGTTAAAATCTAAAAAAGAAAGTCAAAAATGGGCTTTTTTTGGCTTTTTTGGCTTAAGAAAGTCGAAATCTAGGTTAAAATTTCAAAATTAGATCAAATTTCGATCAAATTTCAATCAAATTTCGATTAAAATTTCGAAATTAAAGTAAATAACTGGGGAAATTCGTTTGAAAATCGAAATCGAATCGAAAAACAGACGTAGAAAGTCAAAATTTTGATTTGAAAATAGTTAAAAATAGCTAAAAATAGCCTTTTTTTAGTCTTTTTTAGTCTTTTTCCGGTGTTTTTTGCATTAAAAAGTGAAAAATAAAGTTGGCAGCGAGAAATTTGGAGAAAAACAATCGAATTAATCATTTCCTTTTTCGATTTTGCTATTGATATCTTTATCTTTCACTTTTTAACAATTTTATTGAGGATTCGGGAGAAATTTGGAGTTTGCTTGTTTGAATTTTGAAGTTTGAAGTTTCTTTGTTTATTTGAAGAGCTTAGAAAGTGTTTTAAGAGCTTTGAAAGTGTTTTAAAAGCTTTGAAAGAGTTTTAAAAGCTTTGAAAGTGTTTTAAGAGCTTTGAAAGCGTTTTAAAAGCTTTGAAAGTGTTTTAAGAGCTTTGAAAGTCTTTTAAAAGCTTTGAAAGAGTTTTAAAAGCTTTAAAAGTCTTTTAAGAGCTAGGAAAAAGACAAAAAACTGGCAGGAAAAGGAGATTTTGCCTTTTTTTCAATGGATTTCGTAATATTTCAAGAAATTCAGTCGAATTTCCATTTAAAACAAGATTTCTTTGCGGTTTTCCTTCACTAAATATGTGAAAATCGCATTCAAATGAATCATTTCTTCGAAAAACATTTTACTTTTGTCTCTATTTACATTTCAGTTTTGAAATTTTACGAAAAACTTGTTTTTGATAGAGAGAAATATGAGAAAATGGTTGAAAAGAGTTGTTTTTTTCGAGATTTAACTAAAATCAAGGTCATGTTTCAAAAAAAACAACAAATTTTCGAATAAACTTCGAACTTCTACAGGATAAGCTTGATTCCCGACTTTTCATTGATTAAGGATTAAAATAAACTCCAACAATCGATTGCTTGACTTCCAAATGAGAGCCTGAGCCTGAGCCTGAGCCTGAAAGCCCCTGGGTACAAGTTTTCAGCACTAGATCTCATTTGGAAGTCATTTACAAAACAAGAGAAAAAATTCAGAGTAAACTGGGAGGTGTTCTTTGTGCGCGTGCACAATCGCTCGCTTTCTGGCACACGCGCCAGATAGATAGGTGGTTGTTTTGGGCAGGTGGGAGGAGTGATAAGAAACAGCCATTTTCACCGTTACTATGCCCAAATTTTTGGCATCAACTTATCCCCAAAACTTGGCTTTATTCTTGCGACAAATATCTACATTTTGTTAAGATTGTTTTCCTTAAAACTTTCTTTAAACCTTGAACGAATGAAGAACTTTAGTCTAGAGCTCATGCAATAAATCAAGAAATCCCAAAAAACGGACAAATCAGTACACCAAACGGCGTGCGTTTGCATTGATCGTCGTATGATTCGTGATTTATAAGTAAAGTTGATGATGTCCCAGAGACTTTTTCTTGCCATACTTAAAAGGATCCTTCAAGAAATTTGAGACAACTTGGTGCGAGCGCTTGATTTTTTTTTTGCGATCTTCCGATTCGACAACTTTCTTCCTTTCAAAATCAGAATTTTCATGTTCAGTAAAAAACGGAAATGCATCCTTTCTGGTGCACTGGGTGCTTGTCTTTAGCACGTTTAAAATCACTACAGAACTCAGGGGATCCGCGAAAGCGATTTTTTACGCCCCATCTTCTTAAAAAATAAAAGTTTAAAAGAAAAAGAGAAAAGTTTAAAAGAAAATTTCGGAAAAATTGGCTGTTTTTCAAATGAACAAATCAAGAGAATTTATACGCGAATCACATTTTTTTCTTTTCTTTTTCTTTCCACTTGTTTACTCGAAAACATTGAGAAAAATTGAAAAATGAAAGGAAATCTTTGAAACAAATTTGTTTGCGAAAACAAGTCATCTGCGCGGTCACAATGCCTTTTGCGCTGCGAGAAAAACAGTGATTTTTGGGGAATTTTTGGAGTAAACCGGGTGGGGGGAGGGGGTAAAAGAGTTAAAAAGAATACAGAAAAACGTCGTTTTTTTTTTGAGTAAACTAAAAGACAAAATAATTAGAGAAGATAAATCTTTAATTAAAAAAGATCAAAGATTCAATTAAAGACTTTGAAAGACTTCAATTAAGACTTCAAAAGACTTTGAAATTTGAAATCCAGAATCCAGAATTAATTGAAAGGATTTGAGTTGGTTTTTGAATTGATTTAGCTTTGAAAATTGGTTCTAAATCCAGCCAATAAAAAGCTTAAAGATAAAAATGAGTACTTTTGATGTACTGTACTGACTAAAATGAGTACTTTTGATGTACTGTACTGACTAAAAGTACTTTTGATGTACCGTACTGACTAAAAGTACTCTTGATTTTTTGAAATCTAAAACTTTGAATTGGTTGATTTACAAGGAAAAAGATTATCAAAAAACGAAATCTCTAAGCTAATCGAAAGCCATTTTTTTTGGCTATAGTCATTGGTCTCTGGCTTTGAGCCAACTCTTGTCGTGACGATCTCGTGATCGTGATCGAGATCGAGATCATCACGGATGGAAATGACCAGCCAGACACCAGACGCCTATTGTGCAAGATTTAACATCGCTATCCGTTCAACTGCAGGACGAGACCAACGCCAAAGTTCTGTATAAAAGCAATGTGAACGAGCTGCCGAGGTGTGCCGTGGAGTCGTGAATTGGTTGATTTACAAGGAAAAGGATTATCAAAAAACCTAAGCCTAAGCCTCCCAATCCCAAGCCACTGAACCAGCTATTATTGCTGTAATAAAGAGTCGTCTCTACTCTCTCCCAATCCCAAGCTACTGAACCAACGTCTCTACTCTCCCAATCCCAAGCCACTGAAACAACTATTCTTGCTGTAATAAAGATTATATCTAAACCACCAATAATCACTACAACTCTTGAGACTTTAATCTGTTTTGGTCTTAGTTTTTTAAGTTTAGTTTTACTTTAATCAGCTCTTCATCAGCTCTTCATTAAGTTACAATATCGATTAGAGAATTTCCTTTAACTTTTTCAAATCTTCAAATTTAGTTGATCAAAACGTGACATTCAAAAAAAAAATCTTAAAAATCATGAGTCCTCTTGGTGAAAAATCGGGAAAAGAGAGTTGTTTTGGAGCTTTTTTTCAATATTGGTTTTTGAACGATAGGAAAAAGTGCAAAAATTGTTGAGAGCTGGGGAAATATTTGAAATGATGCCAAAATGAACAGAACAAGAAAAGGACAGAAAAAAGAAAGAAAAAGAAAGAAAGAAAGAAAGAAAGAAAGAAAGAAAGAAAGAAAGAAAGAAAGAGACAGAAAAAGACAGAAAAAGACAGAAAAAGAAAGAAAAAGACAGAAAAAAGAAAGAAAGAAAGAAAGAAAAAGCCAGAAAAAGCCAGAAAAAGACAGAAAAAACCAGAAAAAGCCAGAAAAAGAAAGAAAGTGCTTGTTGAAAGGTGTTCAGACAAAAATAGTAAATAAGGAAAGTTTCCGAATTTTTCTCTTAGCTTACTGTTACTGGCTGATTATCTAAAGCTATGAAAATTCGAATTGAAAATATAAAACGGTTTCCCTAGGGTTCTAGACTTGTCTGACAATGAGCTTGAGCTAATTTTTGAGAAATAGATAATCTACTATATATATAAATCTATATATCCTATAATCTACAAATCTAAAGCGTCTGTCCGTCTGTGCAACCTTTTCAGCCGTCCTTAGCCCAAAATAGCTGTAGTTTTTAGGTAATAAAGTTAAATTTTCTTTAGAAAACCTTAGAATCTAATGTAGTTATGCTATTTAAAGGGAAAAAATGAAAAAAATCGAGATCGAGTGGCGCGATGGGGAGTCGAACCCGGGTCTTGTGCGTTGTAGGCTGGAACGCTCTCGACTGCGCCACGGAAACAAAAGATCGAACCGTCAAAAATCCTCAAAACTTCACAAAGACCGCTTTTTCGGCTAAATCAGGATGCTCATCTTGAAAATGGCATTCAGCGCGATGAAGACCGGCTTGAGAATATAAATCCCATGTAAATAAAAACTCAAAAAGCCAAGCCTAAGCCAGCCAAGAGCGGCGCTATGCGGGGTCGAACCCGGGCCTTGTGGGTTGTAGACTAGCACGCTCCCGACTGCGCGATGAAGACAGACGGATAGAGCTCCCAAAAAAGCCCCAAAACATCCCCAAGACCGATTTTTCAGCTAAATCGAGATACTCACCTTGAAAATGACATTCGGTGCGATGAAGATCGGCTTCAGATTGTAAATCCCATATAAAGCCATCAAGACGATGGCCGTGTTGGCAACAAAAATCGAAAAAGAAAGTGCGGACTCAGTGCCAAAGACCTAGAATGAAAGAAATTAGCTTAAAACTGACTTATAAAGTTGATTTAAACCTTTTCAGCCGTCTTTAGCCCAAAATAACTGTAGTTTTTAGGTCTTTTTCAAGAAAATCTTCAGCTTTCTCTCCATATTTCTATTGAAAACGAACAAATTCATTAATTAACCTATGATTTTCTTTAAAGAAAAAGGATTTATTGGTCAATAACTTTTCATTTTATCAATTTCGATTCACTTTTAAGCAAATTAGAGAGGAAAAAATGTGTTTTTCATCAAAATCTTTAGTCAATTGACAAGAAAAAAAAGGAAATTGAATTGATTTGAACACAAAAATCATTTCCCAATGTTCTTTCTTCAATTCCATAATGTTTATCTATTGATTTAAAGGAAAAGGAATCATTTTAGGATGAATATGAAAAGATTTCTGTGGATTTCTGTGGATTTCTGTGAAGATTTGTGTGAAGATTTCTTCCTCAAACTTCCTTTTCCTTAAACTTTCTTTTCCTTCAACTTCCTTTTCCTTAAACTTTCTTTTCCTTAAACTTCCTTTTCTTCAAACTCACTTGCAACGTGAGTAGAACCGAGTTCGCAAAGTTGATCACCATCAACAGACTGTAAGCCATTCGGGTCTGAAAATCTTGCTTTTAAGATTGTAAAAATCAAATTTGACAATTCGGCATTGAAAGTTTTAGTGGTTTTTTGGAATTTCTGTTCTCTAAAATTCTAATAAAGGGTTTTTTTGGGAAAAGTAATTTTGAAATGAGCAATTTTGAATTGAAAATCTTTTCAATCCCACAAAACAAAACCGAATCGGATTTGTGATTGTCAAAAGAGATCAGTGTTCTTTTATCTTTCTTTGTTTTTAGTAATCATTTTTTGTACTTTTTTTCCTTTCTATTCATTAGTAATTCTTCTATTTCTTTAGTCACAAATCATTTTTCTCTTTTTCTTTCGATTTCTCTTTCTATTCAATAATAATTCTTCTATGTCTCATTCTATTCATTAATAGTTTCTCTATTTCTCTTTCTATTCTATTCTTTCTTCAGATTTAAATCTTGAATAAAGAATTCAAAAATTTCGGTCTATCGAATTGATTTGATGAGTAAGAAAAGGAAAAAAAAGTAGGATTAATGAAAGATTTTCGATTTTAAAGATGCAAATTTTGAGCTCAAAAAGGATTCAATTCAAAAGCTCTAAAGGTTCAAAAGCTCTAAAGATAAATTGAATAAATTGGGAAAGAGAAAGACAGGATTACAGTAAGATTAAGGCTACAGCTAGACAGTCCAAGATTACGGCATCTTTTCAAAGTGAGGAATCACATTTTATCTATCTACAAGGTATTATAGAAAAAGTTTTCAAAGTAAATGAGATCTGTGGCTATTAAAGGCTAGTTCAATAGTTCAATAGTTCAATAGTTCAATAGTTTAAAAGATTTCTGAAAAATTCTCAAATCTGAAATCCGAAATCTCAAATCTCAAACTTCCAAACGAAAAACAATCAAGAAATTTGCCAGAAAAATTCCTTTTAGTCAACAAAATATTACAGCATTTATAGCTATTGTAATATGAAAAAAATGACAAGTTTTTCTGGGGTAAATATTTTGCGAAGAAAACAAGAAAACAAGAAAAGTCGATCATTTGATTTGTCGATCATTTGATCGTCTGAAAAGGCAATTTTCCATTATTCATCTAAAGATTTTCAGTGCAAAACAAGCAATCTTTTCTTTATTTTTGGAAAAAACAAAGGAAAGGAACAAAGGATTCTTTGAAAGCGCAAAGAATCGGTCAAAAAATGACAAGAATCGGTCAAAAAATGCCAAGAATCGGTCAAAAAATGACAAGAATCGGTCAAAAATTGGCCAAGAATCGGATTGATGTTGAATTTAAACGATTAGTTACAGTAATCTTTAAAATATTCAGCGATTCGCTTGAGGAAGAGTTATCAAAAAGCTGTAAATCGAAATTTTTGTTTCCTTTTTCGGCTTTACGCTTTACGGTTGAATATGAAATAGGCAAAAATGTCAGGGAAAGAGGGGAATTTCCAAGAATTCTTCCAAGAATTCTTTTTTTTAGTGCAAGAGCAACAAAGATCAAAAATTTGCCAAAATTTGCCGCTTTTCTTTGACAATTCAAGGAATTCTGTTTGAAAACCAGAAAAACAGATTTCTCTACAAATGTTCTTTGCGCTTTTCCATCATCGCTTGCTTTCTAGCACACGAGACTTGGGTAATTAAACCGACTGCGGGTGTTTTCCGCGGCGGTTATTCGAAGGCAGTATGCCAGACGCTGCTTTTTCCTACGAACGACAGGGAAAGAACACACAGGATTGGCAGTTGCTTTCAAAACCGACTTTTAATCTTTTACAAGTCTTTTAGAAGTCTTTTACAAAGTCTTCTACAAGAATCTACTGCGCTAGAGAGGGTGCGTTTACAAGTTTGAGCACAAAGAACACAGCTTTCTTGTTGAAATCTTGAAAAACGAACATTTGTTCCAACGGGACAGCAGCATTTCTGCAATCTCGTTTTCCGGATGCACAAGTACATTTGCTCATAGTAATCCATAGAATACGGCTTTAGTTTCGAAATAAAAAGTTGAAAAAGAAGAATTGAAAAGGGTGAATGAATGTTTACGTGATTAAAAAAGAATATATCAAATTTCTATCAGTAGCCGATTATTTTGCTAAAAGAGCTTGTTATTTGTTTTGAATGCTTAGGAAAAAGAGCAATAAAACTTCAAAGGGAAAAGGGAAAGTACAGGTCAAGAAGGCAAAAGGGAAATGGGCAATTTGACGCTGAATTTTGACGGCAATTTGAATTTCTAAAAGCTAGAGATATTGAGAATTTATAATCTATTTTTATTCAAAAATTATCTATTTTCTTTCTTTAGTGGCATTTTGAATTTGGAATTGACAAGATTTGGAAAAAGATTCAATTCAATTTCTATTGGCAAATGTTTTCGTGTATAATCGCGCCTTCTCGCAAAACTTGGGTAATTAAACCGAGTGAGGGGGGTTTCCAGCCGTCCCTATCCCGGGGCAATGTGCCAGACGCTGCTTTTTCTTACGAGTGACATGGAAAGAACGCACAATTGACCTTCCATGGTCGGGGCAGATGTGTTCTTTCCCTGTCGCTCGTAAGAAAAAGCGGCGTCTGGCACACTGGACTTGGATAGGGGCCGCCGGAAATCCCCGCCGTCGGTTGAATTACCCAAGTTTAGGACGCGATGAGGCACGCGATTATGGGGAAGCCAAAACCTAGAACAAAATCGTCTTTTTGAGCGACATGAAAGGTACGCACAACGCCTGAAAGCATTAGATTGGCTCAAGCTTTCTTGGCTTTAAAGAATCGTTGTGCGGGGTGCGTACCTTTCATGTCGCTCGTAAGGAAAAGCAGCGTCTGGCACACGGCCCCGGGATAGGGGCAGCCGGAAATACCCCTTAGCCGGTTTAATTACCCAAGTTTTGCGAGAAGACCCGATCATTCAAGCTTGTCTTTTTTCATTGATTTCGTTACTAAACAGAACGCAAATCAAGAAATGCATGATAAAGGAAAGTAAAAATAAATCTTTTGCTAAAATATGAATCATTTTCTTGATGCGAAAACAAAAGCAAGAAAACAAAGAAAAAAAAAGGTGAAAAAGAAAAGCATTGTACTAGTGCGAATAGGGTGAATAAGAAGCGGAAAATTTCCCACAATCGGTTGATTGAATCCGAATCAGAAAATGAGATGCGCAAAAGAAGTGACGAGTGAGAGAATTTCGTACAAAAGCTTTCATACAAAAGCTTTCGTACAAAAGCTTTCGTGCAAAAGCTTCCTACAAAAGAATTTTGTGTAAAAAGCGATTTAAATTTTGAATTGAATTACAGTAAGCTGGATTTCTTGGATTTCTTCGATTTTTCTTCGATTTTTGAATGAAATTCATCATTTCTAGAATCAAAATCTTCTGGATTCATCAAAATCTATGTACCTAGAGGATCTTCTACTCAAACTAACTGTAATCCAATTCAATCATGTATCTAGAGGATCTTCGATTCAAACTAAGCATACTGTAGCCAACCAGAATCATTTGTAGTCGTAAAGTATGATTTAATAGTTATAAAAAGACTAGCTACTAGAATAAATCTTATTATTAAGCTTTCTCAATCTCTATTCTCTCAATTTCTGTAAGATCACAAAAAAGTCGAACTTGTCTTTACAGTAACACAGCTGTAGCACAGTATAGTAAACTATAGTAAACTATAGTAAACTATAGTAAACGTTGTCTTTGATTCAATAGAGTTCACTCGTTTTTTTATTTACAAATGCACCGTTTTTCATTCTTGAAAAACGGTGATTCAAATTCTAGAGCTAAACAATATTTATGAAATATTAAAGAATAAATTCGACGAATTACAGAAATGATCCTAGTTATATAAAGCTTTTCCGTTCATTTGATCAATTTCTCGCTTTATTTACTTTCAATGAAAAGGCAAAGAAAATGAAATGAAATGTAAGAGTTGAGGGCTAATTGTAAGAGCTGAAAAAAAGAGGATAAATGAGTAATAAGAAATTAGTCATAGATTTAACAAAAAGACAAGGATTTGATTGATGAAAATGATTTAGAAAAGAGTGGTAAAAGTACTGTAAGTAAAGTAAGTAAAGTAAGTAAAGTAAGTAAAGTAAGTAAAGTAAGTAAAGTAAGTAAAGTAGGTAAAGTAAAGTAAAGTAAAGTAAGTTTCATCTGTGATAAGTTTCATCAAAAAAAAACTCGCTTTACAACAATTTACAACAATTTCCAAGCGTTTATTTACTAGTTTTAATGAAATTCGAGAAGAAATTCAACGAATCCAGTTGTTTGGAATCTCGAAAAGCACTAGAAAGTGTAAAAATTTGGAAAACGGGTAGGATTTCCCCTTTGTAGAGGGTAAAAAAGAGGCAAAAATGGGCATCAGTCCCAAACTGAGCAAACAATTTGTGAGGATACAAATAGAAACACAAATAATACGCTGCCCGTTTCCTTTTTTTTATACAATGAAAGGGGGAAATGAGCGAGTGTTTTTGCTCTATTACATGAAATCGAAAAGGATTTGTGAGAAGTCTTTCACAATGCTTACAATTCTTACAATTCTTTGACAATTCTTCGCCAATTTCCTTCTTTGCCTCAATTTTCTTTATCCAGATTCTTTTGAATATTTCAAGCATTTAATATTCAGCCAATAATGCTATCAGTAATCAAAAATCGATGTCCGATGTTTTTTTTGCACTTTGTGCTTTGTATTTGTGAAAACCCACCGTTTCTGGTGCACTCAATCTTTACTAGGACACTATTTGTGCGTTCTTTCCATGTCTCTCGTCAGAAAAAGCGGCGTCTGGCACACGGTCCCGGGGTAAGACGGGGGGAAATCTACCCCAGTCGGTTTCATTACCCAAATTTGAGGCGCCGATTAACAAACCTCGTAGTCAGCAATCACCACCGTGCGTTCTTTCCATGTCTTTCGTGAGAAAAAGCGGCGTCTGGCACACGGTCCCAGAATAGGGGCTGCGGGAAACGGGCTCTGCCGGTTTAATTACCCAAGTTTGAGGACCCGTTTAACAAACCTCATGACTTAAAACAAAGCACGATGACGACTGTGCGTTTTCGCCCTATCGCTCGTAGGAAAAAGCATCATATGGCATGCTGCCCCCGGGTGAAAACCACCTCAGCCTGTTTTACTGAATGACCACTGTGCGTTCTTTCCCTGACATTCATTAGAAAAAGCGGCGTCTGGCACACTGCGCCCGGGTAGGACCGGGGGAAATCCATCCCATTCGGTTTAATTACCCAAGTTTAAGACGCAAAAAGGCTCTAATTTTTCTTAGAGTCGACCGATTCGGCTAAAAATTCGAATATAAATGTAAAAATGTTGTTAAAATGAATAAAGCTATATAGATATAAGAATGAATATAAAAATATAATAAACTTTAAGCAATCTGTCATATTTTCGACTATTTTCGACTATTTTCGACTATTTTCGACTTGATTTGCCTTAATTTCAGTTGGAATTTCTTTTTATTGCTTTATTTACCGATTCTAAAACAAATTTCCGAAATTTAAGGTCATTCTGTAAAGTTAAAGGCTTTCTTTTACGGTAAATTTGGAATCCGACGAGTTTATCTCAGTTATGAGCAAGGGAAATTTCGGAAATTTTCTTTTAGAATCGGTGAATCAATCAAAATAAAGCAATAAAAAGAAATTCGAACTGAAATTTGCATAGGAAAAGAACGATCTTTAGCTTGGCTTTAGCTTGGCTTTAGCTTTAGCTTAATGAAATGAAAAAGCTAATGAAATCGTGTTCAGATTTTGAAAGGGGAATTTTCCCTTTCAAGATCCTTTCCTCACAAGTGTCTGTACGAAAATGCACTTGACGATTTTCTAAAAAACATTCCCAACAAACCACTTTCGAATGTCAGAAATCAGGGAAAGTTTGGGAAAGTTTTTAGATATTAGAAATAAGAATGATATAATGAGAATGATATAATGATTAGAAATGAGAATGATATTAGAAATGATATTAGAAATGATATTAGAATGATATTTTGTGATTTGAAAGTGATTAAAGAAAGTTTAGATAAGAGTTTCGATAAAATTTTGGATAAAATTTGATTAGAAAATCTTGTCTTGTCTTGTCTTTATTAGAAAATCTTGTAGTAAATGATTTTTTTTAGTAAACTCTTAGTAAACTCACGTGGAGTAAATGATTTTTTTCCTTGAACCACGCCGTGCATCGGAACATCGTCTCGTGATACATTTTTGTGAAATTTTCTGAAATTTTCAATTTTATGCTTTAAAGAATAAGAATTTTATAAGATAATAAAACAATAAAACAATAAAACAATAAAAACAATAAAAATAATATAATAATTTGTAATAAAGATATAAAAAAAAAGATTTTTTGTTGAAGAGGTTTACTTTGTGCTTTAATTTGTGGCTTTGTGCCTTTCTGGCATTTGATTCTTCATTTTTATTATCATTGCTGAAAGAAATTGAAGAATTAAGTTCACTAGAAAGGTTTCGTTTACCAGGAGCACAGAGAACACTGGTTGAGCTTAAAAAATCAACCAATGATGTGCGATGTGCGTTCTTTTCCTGTCGCTCGTAAGAAAAAGCAACGTCTGGCACACGGCCTCCGGGTAGCATGGGGGAAATCCAGCGCAGTCGGTTTAATTACCCAAGTTTGAGGCGGCGATTAAGAAACGTCGTAGTCAGCAATGACTCTGTGGTTCTTTCCATTCCTCGTGAGAAAAAGCAAGTCTGGCACACGGCCTCCGGGTAGCATGGGGGAAATCCAGCGCAGTCGGTTTAATTACCCAAGTTTGAGGCGGCGATTAAGAAACGTCGTAGTCAGCAATGACTACTGTGCGTTCTTTCCATGTCGCTCGTGAGAAAAAGCAGCGTCTGGCACACGGTCCCCGGGTAGGACGGGGGAAATCCACATCAGTCGGTTTAATTACCCAAGTTTGAGGCGGCGATTAAGAAACGTCGTAGTCAGCAATGAATGACCACTGTGCGTTCTTTCCCTATCGCTCATAGAAAAAAGTGGCGG